ACTCAAAACTCCTAAGCGCAGGGCAACTGGTGGGTGTGTCACCAGACAGAGGCCAAACCAAAACCCTATTCTTCCAAATTTGTTAGCAGAACACATAATTCAAATGAAGTTTTTGTATACAAAGTTTTAACTATTACTCAACTTCCCAACACATTATACTCTAGAAAGCAGTGTGTTTCAAACAAAAGGCCTGGTTTTTCCCAGTTAATTTCAACCTCAACAACCAACTTTTTTCTTTATCACATGACATATTTCAGATATGAAAGTGATCTCTCAGGAATCCTACTCAAAATCCTTATCTTCAAGAGTTTAATTTCCTTTCTTCCTCAAATTCTAAAAAAGAACAAAGAACTAAACCTCCAAAATATGAGTTAAAAAGTAAAACTACTGAAATGATTATTTTTCCCAAAGTTTTTATGTAGCTTGGGTTTCTGACTTGAAAAACAGCCGCATTGTCAGGTTGCTCAATGTTATTTATTATGTTCTAAAATGGAATGAATATTTTCGAAGTTTGGCCTACTCATTGCTAACGTTCATTGGTCCTTTTAGAGTTTATTAATTTATCTATATATTTACTGCCATGCTAGGGATCAACCCCAGTGCTTTAAAAATGAGCCAGGTCAGAAAATGTTTTCTTTTTTTATTTATTTATTTTTATGTCTATGTGTGTATTGCCTGCATGTAGGTAAGTGCACCCGTGTTTGCAATGCCCGAGGAGGTCAGAAGAGGCTGTCGGATCCCCTGAGACTGGAGTTATGGACAGTTGTTAACTGCCATGTGGGTGCTGAGATTTGAACCCAGGTCTTCTGCAAGAACATCCAGTGTTCCTAACCACTGAGTCATCTCTCCAGCCCCAGAAAATGTTTTCTTAAAAAGTAAAATAGTTTAAGCCGGGCGTGGTACCTCACACCTCTAATCCCAGCACTCAGGAGGCAGAGGCAGGCAGATCTCTGTGACTTCAAGGCCAGCCTGGTCTACATAGTGAGTTCCAGGACAGCTGGGGCTACAGGAAGACCCTGTCTCAAAAAGACCAAAAAATAATAATAGTAATAAAATAAAATAGTTTAAAGTTTAATTTTTTGTTTTGTGGGTTTAAAAATTTAAAAAAACACTTTATTATTATCATATGTATGATATGTATATACAGATACCCATGTGCCATGCGGCATGTATGGTGGTCAGAAGACAACTTTGTGAAGTCTGTTCTCTCCTTTCATCTTTACATAGTTTGTTTTTTGACTTACTATAAAACTCAGGTTGAACTTGAATTCATAATCTTGCCTCACAAGTGGTAAGATTATCAGTGTGTGTCATACCTTGCTAGACTTTGTTTTTTTTGTTTTTGTCTTTTTGAGAGAGGGTCTCCTTGTTGCCACAGCTGTCCTGGAACTCACTATGTAGACTAGGCTGGCCTCGAACTCACAAAAATCCACCTGCCTCTGCCTCCCAAGTGCTGGGATTAAAGGCATGCACCACCACGCCTGGCTAAATTTTTTTTTTTATATTTGGTCTTTCTGAGACAGGGTCTCCCTGTAGCCCTAGCTGTCCTGGATTCACCATGGAGACTAGGCTGGCCTCGAACTCACAGAGATCTGCCTGCCTCTGCCTCCCAGTGCTGGGATTAAAGGCGTGGACCACCATGCCCGGCTAAACTTTGTTTTTATGCTTTGAATCTGGGGCCTTGCAAATGATAGCTAAGTGATGTACCACCAGCCCTATTTATTTATTTATTTATTTATTTATGTGGGGCTGGGGATTAAATCAAGTATTTTGTAGATCTTAGTAAGCATGCTACCTTAAACTAAACTAAATATCCCCACTCTAAAGGTACATTTCAGCTCTATGTCACATTAAGAATTTATCAGTGGAATTACAGGGGACAAAGGCTAAAATGTATCAATACTTTGTTGGCACACAAGTGTTTGAAGAAACAAAAGAAACAAAAGGAAAAAGAATTCAATCTCATGGGATATTATTGCTTTAAACTTGATACCAGCCAGGTATTTCTTTGGTCTAACTCTGAAAAAATACAAATTACACACATCCCCACACTTTCAAAATATGCCAAAGGATTATTTATTAACACAGGACTTACAGATCACAAAAGAGAGTGGCACAGAAGAACTGGAAAGGAAGTCATCAGAATAAGCATGCAGGTCAGTATTTGCAGAGAAATACACTAAAGAAAGTTCCAAAAGGCACATTCACACAGAGAATGCCTAAATTGAAAAAAAGATATCAGAAAAGCAGCCAAAATAAATAAATAAATAAACAAAAATAATAAACAAATAAATAAACAAATAAATAAATAAGGTGCCGATTAAAATACAAAGTCTCCATGTCAAAGAAGAGCTAATTCACAGGTTGGTAGGTAGCTACAGAAGTCTTTCTAACCCTTTGAGAAAGTCACAAATCAAGGTAAGCTCTTGCTGCTAGTGCACCAAATGATCTTAATGGCTGAACATCAAGATGCTGCAGTGCCAGAAGATTAAATTTAGTGGGGGAAAGCAGCCTTGTTAAAATAATATGCAACAAGAGCTCAAGGGTTAAAGGAATAATATGCAGAGAAATCAGGCAATGCTATTAGTATATCTACCTTCCATACAAAGAATTAATAGCAAGAGTTAAAAGAGACAGTATCCCCTTCAGAGTTAAGTTAGGGTTTCCAAGCAGGACTGAGGTCCATATGTAATAATCTACCAGGCTTTATTTGCTTCATCAACCCACTTCCTATTTCTTCAACAAGATGTACCTTGCTCTTTTTTTTTTTTTTTTTTTTTTTTTTTTTTTTGAGACAGGGTCTCCCTGCAGCCCCTAGTCCTGACGAATTCACTATGTAGGCCAGACTGACCTTGAACTCACAGAGATTCACCTGCCTCTGCCTCCCAAGTACTGGGATTAAAGGCGTGCACCACCACACCCCCCACAAAATGTTCTTTCAACCTTCAAACTAAGAGAACAAGAGATATTATAGTGAACAGAAGGGTAAAATAAAATCACATTGCACTGAAGCAATGACTGCCACTTACCCTCTCTAATACACTTATTTATGCAGCAATTTTGTTCAACAACATACAAGTGTAACTCCTTGGTCAGCCATCAACCCCTTTTAACAACCGCTCTAAAGGGATACTGCTCCTTTCCAACAGGAGGTTTACAGATCAACAGAGGAAACATCCTCCCTCTGAAGAGAGCCGGCTTGAACACAACAGGTTCCATTCTGGGAATGTCCCACACATACATAAAGAACATAAGCACAGATTATTTTTAACAGGTCCATCAGAATGAGCACAGTCGAAAGCCAACCTCCCCTTCCCAAATAAAAGGCAGGGAAAAAGACACCCCCAGCCTAGATTAACTCATTTCACAAAGACATGTAGTTTGGCACTGTGAAAGAATATAGATTCGTTTTCAGAAAAATAGCTTCTAATTCATTACTTCAGAGTCCAAATGGCTAGGATACATGTTGTGAATTTTTTTTTTTTTTTGGTCTTTTTGAGACAGGGTCTCCCTGTAGCCCCAGCTGTCCTGGAACTCACTATGTAGACCAGGCTGGCCTTGAACTCACAGAGATCCACCTGTCTCTGCCTCCCTAGAGCTGGGATTAAAGGCGTGCACCACCACGCCCGGCTCTTGTTGTGAGATTTTTTAAAAACTAAAAATCAAACACTGTTGTTCAGAAGGCAATGCCCTTTACAAGTGAGTGTTGGGAATCACATAGCTCATACAAAAAAAGGAAAACAAATTGTCCAAACAAATAGGCAGCAAAGAAAAATACATGAAAATAAAGTAGTGAAGGGCATAAGGAGTTCTTCAGACAGCCCGTTGCACTTAGAAAATATCTTGGCAAGTGGCGACATGAAACATGTAGAGTCTTTGCTAACTTGCTTCTGATTCAATACCCAGTGTAAGAAATCTCCAACATTTCAATAACCAAAGGATGGACATAATTTTTCATTTTGACTTGCCAATTTGAAATATGTGAAATCTAATAAATCTAATAGCACTTCACAATTTCTGCTGAACCTGTAAACTTAGAAGCGTCTTATGTGTCCCTCAGGTTAAAAAGAAAAACTTTCATTACATACACTACATTTTCTAGAATAATACAGTAATACTGAGATAGTTCTCATTAATAAAGGCCACAAAATAGGTTTATCTTTCTATTTACAGATTAAAAACAAAACAAAATAAAAACTAGGCCACCTGGGAGTCTAGTTTTGTGATAAGAAGTTGAACTAGAGAACAAAGTGCTACATGTAAAGCCACATGGAATTTAGAGGGCTCCCTAGGAAGAGGCTTTCATTCTATCAGAAAGTTAGTAGTTACCCTACCCTAGCAGCTACAGATTCATTACAACTTAATACTTCCAGGAACAGAGTTTACACTGAAAACAGGACCTGGACTCCACCAATGCAATGGGCTCTCCCTGCCAAGTCCTGACACAAGGGGCATCCCTAAGTGATCTCTTTCTCTCTTCTCAAGGGACTTGGCAAACTACACAACAATTTATTAGAGTTTTTCACTTTCTTGGTATAATAAGAATCAGTTTCTGTCAACCCAACAACTATCTTAGCAGCTGCTAAATATACTCAGGGGGAAGACAGAGGAGAGGGAGATTGATTCTGCTTACAGGTAAAGAAGCACTGTGGACACTACACAAGTCTATAAAATTTCTGGCTATCTGGGGTTCACTGAGCAGTGGGTTTTTTTTTTTTTTTTTTTTTTTTCAAATGTGCCTCTGATACCAAATGAATATTGGATTTCAAAAATAAAAATATTTTTGCTGTCCAATGCAAGTTTCAGAGTGTTCACAGTATCCATATATCAAAGTATCCATAAAGATTTAACACTATTTCAAGGAGACAGACAACAGGGAGGCTAGGTATTATAGATACCCCAAGATAACAGGCCAGAGCCTCAGTCTATCAATCAACACCCACAGAATCATCTTTGAAATCTACGTCACCATCACCAGAGCAATCTCACCAATTCCTCACCTGCAGCAGGAGGATGCTGGCCACTAACTGTTGGTAAATCCAAAGAGCTATCAGACATGACATGCTTAAGATCTCCTCCCACATCAGCCAGTTTCATGTCAAACTGAACAGAAAGCGCATCTTCTGAGTCCTCCTTGCCAATGCTGCTGCCACCAATAGAAGGGAGATCTAGGGACTTCACTGAAGCAGAGTCTTCTTTGGTGTGTCTGAAAGCTACTGCTTTCTCTCCCAGGGATTTCTCCGAATTCATGGATGAAAATTTATTGGAGTGAAAATCAGCAAAATCATCATCACCTTTTCCAAAAGGAGTGTTATCTTTTAACTCTTCGACACCTAGTCCAGCTCCTTCTAGGGAAAGCTGTTTGAAGACATCATACTTGGTGGATGTAGCAGGTGTACTCTTTCCCTCACTGCCTGAGTTGCTGGTCAGAGGAACGGGACTTGGTTCCTCTCTGAGGACATCATATTTGTCATCTGCTTTTTGCTCAGAAGAAATAGAGCTGTTACTGAAAGCCATAAAATCTGCAAAGTCATCCTGCTCCCCAACTGATGCAGGACTAGAATATTCCCCAAAGAGGTTGAATTCTCCAAAATCATCAGCCAGACTAGAAGTTTTAGTGGATGCCAGTGCTGCTGGGCTTGTAGTAGATCCCCCTGGCTGAGGTCTTGTAGAAACTGACTTAGATGTGCTAAATGCTGCTGAAAAGGGCAATGGTTTCTCATTGCTGCAATTAACTGAGGAAAACATATCCAGGTCTGCTAAGTTCAGAGGAGTTTTCACTTGTGTTTGCTGTTTCTGCTGTATAGGTCCTGAGGGGAAGGATGTTGGGAAAGTGTCTTTTGTCGTTGGTGGCTCTAGAGGTGATATACTGTCGGCTGTCTTAAAGTCGGTGAAACCATCATCAGTTCCTGCAGATCTGAATTCTGTGAAGCTCTCTCCTGAAAGAAAAAAAAAAAATGCAACCAAATAAATAAGATGCTGAGCTGAAAACCACATAATGCACAGTGTATTAAATTAAAAGTATAATTCCATAGGTTTTCCCCCTGGCTTGACATTAATCACAGTTTATACCCTATCAAATTACTTATTTGTTTCCTCATTAAAAGCCCAATGATATGGAAATAGGTAGGCACTGCTCTCAAGACTTTCTCCTCCTCTGGCCAGCCTGCCATGCACACATCAGAAGTGAAACAGATGCTGGTTTCTGAGAAAGGCATATTGTAATAGGGGCCCTTTAAAGATAAAACATGTTATATGGTTTAAGTTGGGCATGGTGGCACATGCCTTTAATCCCAGCACTTGGGAGGCAAAGGCAGGCAGAGGTCTGTGAGTTCAAGGCCAGCCTGGTCTACATAGTGAGTTCCAGGCCAGCTGGGACTACAGGGAGACCCTCTCTCTTGCTCAAAAAAAAAAATGTTATATGGTTTAAAACAAAATCAGAGGTATCAATGAAGTATTGTGAGAAGTCCTACATCTAATATTAAGGATGTATATCACTTTGAACAAATAGGCACTTTAAGTATCTCTAGATGTGTGTGTGGATGGCACACACCTATAATCTCAGAACTTGGGAAGCTGAGGCAGGTTTGAGGCCAATTTGGGATACACAGCAAGACCATGTCTCGAACAAACAAACAAACAAACAAAAAAAACCCCTCAATTAACTACACCAATAAAAACCAAAAACCAATCCAACTACTAGAGGCTAAGATTATAATTTAGTGTTCAATGGCAAAGCATATACATGGTACAACTACGGCCCTAGGTTCAATGCCCAGCGTGCATGTGCACATGTATACACACACACACAGAGAACCATTAGATATGATATAATGTGTGTATATAGTGGCAATAATTTGAAGAAAATTTTGGTTAAAATGTTTGAAAAAACAGGTACTTATTTGAAAAGCAAGTAAGTGCCCTGGCTAAGAGCACCTTAAAAATTTTTTTTAAAAATCTGTTATTAAGCCGGGCGTGGTAGCGCACGCCTTTAATCCCAGCACTTGGGCGGCAGAGGCAGGTGGATCGTTGTGAGTTCAAGGCCAGCCTGGTCTACATAGTGAGTTCAGGTCAGCGGGGACTACAGAGACACCCAGTCTCAAAAAGACAAAAAAAAAAAAATTGTTACTATTGTTAGGTGTGAATGTATGATGTGTACATGCAGAGATCAGAGGACAAGTCTGGAGAATGGGCTCACTCCTTCAGCCTTCATATGGATTCTGAGGTTCAAACTCAAGTCAGCAGGGTTTTCAGCAAGCTGAGCCATCTCCTGGGTCCTAAGAGCACTTAAAAAAAATTATTATTTTTATTTTATGTGTATGAGTGTTATGCCTGCATGTAGGTAAGTGCACCCATGTTGTGCAATGCCCACGGAGGACAGAAGAGGCTGTTGGATCCCTTGGAACTGGAGTTATGGACAGTTGTTAGCTGCTATGTGGGTGCTGGGATTCGAACCCGGGTCTTGCTGCAAGAACAGTCAGTGTTCTTAACCGCTGAGCCATCTCTCCAGCCCCCATAAGAGCACTTTTTAAAGAAACTTCTCCCTAAACTCTCTAACAAGTAAGTTGAATATTTCAGAAAAAGTCTGTGAGCATGTGGGCCTTTCTTGAAACCAATTATCTCACTGTTCTGATGAGTACCTTACTCTTTAAAGTCTGGAGCCATGATTATTACTGAGATTTCTAGTCTTCATTGTTATCTAGCCTTATCACTCACAATTACAATGTTAGGATCAGTTAATCTTAGTTTTCTCAGTGTCTGAGGGCCTACAATGAAATCCTCTAGGCTATACCAGCTAATGAAAACCAGAGATAGGCCAAATATCACTATCAACCATCACCCTTGCTTATTGTTTTAAAATATGACTGCCAGTTCTGGAGATAAAAATAAAAACTCCCCACTTTAATTTAATTTTATTTTTGATACATTTTGTTTGTGGCATTCTGGCTAGTCAGGAACCCACTAGGTAGACCAATCTGGCCTTGAACTTGTGGCACTCCTGCCTCTATCTTCTGAGTGCTGGGATTAGAGGCCTGTACCATTGTGCCCAGCTTCTCACCCATTCTTTTAAAATCTGTTTCCCCTAAAAAATGAAACATAGAAGCATATGAACCACAAAATGCACTTAAAACCAAAATCCAGTTCCTAAAATTGACAAAAAGTAATACAGACTTTAAATATAACATGATAATACCTTGATATACTAGATGAAGAACCACTGGAAACAATAGAATTGATTTTTTTCTTCTTAATCTGATAATGATTAGTAAAAGTCATCAAAATAAATCCATCTCATATTAGAGAAATTTTAGAAAGAAGAACAGCCTTCAGATTTCCTATAATTTGTGTTTTCAAGGCATAACACTAATAATATTAAAGTCAATCTCACAAATTGACAGGAAATACAAATGTAAAAATTACCCAAGAATTTTGGGCAAATATAACATTGATTAAATTTGCATCATTTCTGTAAATGAAAAGGTAATTAGTAGTCAATTTTATCACAGCCTAAACTTTTTCTTTTCTTTTTGTCGTTTTGGCTTTTTTAAAGCAGGGTGTCTAATAGTGTAGTCCAGGCTGACCTGGAACTCACTATATAGCCCAGGTTGGCCTTGAACTTGTGGCAATCCTCCTACCCCAGCCTCTTGAATTCTGGGAGTGCAGTCTTGAGCTATGACTCCCACCTCATGGACTAAACTTTTGATGTATTGTTTTGAAATACCTGTGAAATTGACAAGTTTTGCTTTTATTTAAAAAAAAAATCACCACAGCAAACTAAACTTACTGATGATGAATTGTATATTTTTCCATCAAAAATGTAAAATGGGTGAAAAGGTTAAAAGGAAATAAAAATAGGGGGTTATAACTTCAAAAACAAAGAGAGTAGTAATATTTAGCAAATAAGTTAGTTGGAGGTTGCCAGAGTTTTTGTGTCAGAAGGCATAGTGAACCTGCTATCTTATGGGTAGCTTTTTAGTTAACTTGTGAATTCTTGAAAGATATTCTTTTGATTTTTGTCACTTTTTAGGCCTTAAGAAAATCTCAAGGGATTATTTTTGCTGAAGCTTCAGTAAGAAGTACCCTTTCTTTATGCAGAAGATTCTCTCTCTACTTCAACTTCCAGCTTAAACTGCACAGGTAGAAATAGGCAACATTAAACTGTCACCAGAGCATAAGAAACTCATAGTTCTGAACACAGTATAATAAGATCCCTTATAAGTTCTAAGAGATGACATACCTTGTTGAAGTTAAGCCCTCTTTTCTATTTTTTTTTTTTTTGATGGGGGGAGGCTCAGAATTGCTAAGTAGCTAGGGGTGACCTTGAGCTCCTCATCCTCCTGCCTCTACTTTCCAAGTGCTGGGGGACAGGTAGGTACCACTGTACCTAACTCATAGTTTTTAAAAAAATGCATTGTAGGGGCTGGAGAGATGGTGCAGCAGTTAAGAGCTGACTGCTCTTGCAGAGGACTCGGGTTCAATTCCCAGTACCCACATGGCGGCTACAAACCATCCTCAACTCCAGTTCCAGGGGAATCCGAAGCCCCCTTCTTACCTCCACGGCATTGCACAACATGGGTGCACTCTCTCACATGCAGGCAATACACTCATACACATAAAATAAAAAAAATATATAAAAAATATATAAAAACAAATTTTTAAACATTTACAGTTATTTACTTATTTAATGTGTGTTCATAATGGGTGTTCACATTCATATGCACATGGGCACGTACATGCCATGGAAGTCAGAGGACAAGCTTCAGGAGATCTACCATGTGGGCTCTGGGGATTGGACTCTGGTTGTCTGATTTGGCAGCAAGTGTCCTTTCCTACTAAGCCATCTTGCCAGCCCTAGTGCTGTTTTGAATAATGTTACTCTGCAATGTTTTCTTTCCAAATGATGAATGAGAAACAAAGAAAACAAAAATTAAAACAAAAATGATGCCAAGTACCATACCAGGAACCGTGAATAGTTCCTATTGAACATTATAATGAAAGTAGTCATGGCTGTCCATTTGCTTCAGGAATCTAACTTGGATTTCCAGAATTCCAGGGAAAGAAAATGCATTATTTTCAGAGGAAACTGCATTGATTGGACATCCCTGTATTTTAGAAATAACACCCAATAACTGAGCCACATTTGCCTTGTTGGAATTTCCAAGGCCACATATACAAAAATTATCCATCTTCCACAAGATAATACCCTGCTCAGAAACTACCACGATACTTATTAAACATTGTAGTAACCATTCAGAATCTCTAAGTTTAAATATTTGCAGCCTGAATATCTATCACAAAAATTATTACTATGCCATATAATAATCTGTTTAAAATTTTTTTGAGCTGGGTGTGGTGGCGCACACCTGTAATCCCAGCACTTGGGAGGCAGAGGCAGGTGGATCTCTGTGAGTTCAAGGCCAGCCTGGTCTACATAGTGAGTTCCAGGACAGCTGGGGATACAGGGAGACCCTGCTTCAAAAAGACCGAAAAAAAAATTTTTTTTTTTTGAGACAGGGCCTCTCTATGTATGTAGCCCAGGCTGACCTAGAAATACCTATGTAGGCCAGGTTGGCCTTGAATTTGTGGCAATCCTCCTGCCTTTGTCCCCCAATTGCTGGGATTACAGCTGTGTGTTATCATAGTTTGCCATACTGTTTTAGACATTTTGGGTTTTTTTTGTCCCCTAAAAACATATACACAATAAAATAAATATTCAGGAATGTCACTAAAAGAACCACACAAAAAAAAAATCTTTTAGGGTTGGAGAGATAGTTTGGTGGAAGAGCACTAGTCTAGCAAGCCCCAAGGCCCTGGCTTCTATCCCCAACATGACAAAAGGGAAGAAAAAAACAGAATTAAAACTTACCTAAAGGTTTATTCTCTGTGGTCTGCTCAAGTTCCCGGAAAGCACTGTATTTATCAGCAGACTCTATGACAGAAAGACAAAAACTGTTACAGTGGGGAGTCTTGAGATCACAGCCAAAGGAAGGCAGGTGATTGGGTTAAGCAAACATTTAACACGTGAAACAGTGTTTTACATGATTAATATAAAAACCTAATGCTTAAAGATTTAAACAATTTAACTAAATGTTACAGTCACAGATTTATCTACACACTGATTTACCTCCAAATGGAACAGCATTTTCAGAGGGTTTGTCAGCTGAAATTCCTTTAAACACTGCATATTTATCCTTTGAAGCTTTAGTTCCAGGAAGTGGTATCAACAAAGATGGAGCACTAAAAGGAAACGGAAACATGTCTTATGAAGCAGAACACTAAGTCCCCCCTCATAATCAAATAGGGGCTTAGAACACAGCCAATGGTTAAAATTCACATTCTCTCCTTTTTCTTTTCTTTTTTAGATTAAAAAATACACACACACACACACACACACACACACACACACACACATATTTTGGTCTTTTTGAGACAGGGTCTTCCTGTAGCCCCAGCTGCCCTGAAACTCACTATGTAGACCAGGCTGGCCTTGAACTCACAGAGATCTGCCTGCCTCTGCCTCCCGAGTGCTGGGATTAAAGGCGTGCGCCACCATGCCCGGCTGATCAAAAATATTTTTAAAAATTTGTGTGTGTGTGTGTGTGTGTGTGTGTGTGTGTGTGTGACACATGGGTGTTTATGTGCCCCTGGAAGCCAGAAGAAGGTGTTAGATCCCCTGGAGTTACAGTTATGAGTTATCAATTTGAGTAGTAAAAATTGAATTCTGGTCCTCAGGAGAAGCAGTAAGCACTCAACTACTGAGCCATCTCTTCTGGACTGGTGAGATAGCTTGGTTGCTAAAGGCACTTGCTGCCAAGCCTGAGTTCATTCCTGGGGTCCACATAGTGGAAGGGGAGAATCAGCTCACCAACATGGTCCTCTGACTTCCACACACATGCTATGCCATGCACACACCCCTCATCATCACCACACAAAAAAAGAAATCATGTAATGAAAAATGATTTTTTAAGAGAAAAAGTGTTGCATGTAACCCTCATGTAGCTGAGAGGAAAGCGTGAATTTTGGAGCCTCTTGCCTCCACCTCCTGAGTACTGAGACTATAAGTTCACGCTAGGGATTGAACCCAGGGCTTCATGCATGCCAGGCCATGTAATCTACCAACTGAACTACATCCCAGACCTATGGCTCTCTGCTTTAAAAGTTTTTATGCACATCATAAATGACTAAAAACAATGTCTTTTTTCTTAAAAACAAATATTAACACTCAAGTAATAAAAATACTGAGGAGGGATGAGATCTACAATGATGATCTAAGCAGCTCTTTTTTTTTTGTCTTTTTGAAGCAGGGTCTCCCTGTAGCCCCAGCTGTCCTGGAACTCACTATGTGGCAGGCTGTCCTTGAACTCACAGAGATCTGCCTGCCTCTGCCTCCCCAGTGCTGGGATTAAAGGCTCCACCACACCCGGCTAAGCAGCTCTTTAAGCCACAATAATGACTAGAATGGCACTGGACATACATCACTAAAGAATGGTGACCTCATGTAATTTAAACTTACAGTTTATAAAAACCTAACACTGAATTCCCTCAAATATGTATACTCAATATTTTAAAATAAATTACAACCACCCTTAATTTAAAGAATTCTCCAAAATGGATTCAAGGTTCAGAGGTAGAAGAGTTAAGATAAAAATCTACTTATGAAATGTTGTTCAAACCAAGATGTAAGTTCTTTTTTTGATCATTCTCATGTCTTACATCTGACAGGCAGCCCTGAGTTAATACAACTTGCATTTTTACAAGGATCACATCAGTGTTCCAGAAGCTATCTTTGTAGCAAAATAACAGTCACTTCACAATTAGATAAAGATACTTCTGCCTGTGGACATAGTTTTTTTTTTTAAACTAATGGAGAAATAGTGTAATGAGTGGCATCTGCGTGGGTAATTCTTGGAAGGCGTAAAGCATACTATAAAAGCACTGCTTTTTTTCTCTTATCAGACCCAGGCAGCTCCCAGCAAGAACAGCCTTTACATATGAATGACTACATTCTGCCACCAGCCTGGTGTCATTTAATACCACACAGTACAAGTTATAGAAATGAATTTCTATGGAGTTCTTTGCCCTGGAGCAAAAACCTTTCCACAGCCATTTAAATCTCCTTATCAGTGGCCTACTAGCAAGGTAAAAACCAGACAGCCCAGATGCAAGGTAATGGGGGTCCAAGTGCTGCAAGACTTAGACCATCAAATATTAAAATTTCATATCACTACCATATAACTGCTACATATCAGATCTTGACAAGCATAATAGGTTACCATCTAGAGAAATAGGTGGATGTTTTTAAAGTTCCAAAAATAATTAAGCTACAGCTCACTGACCAGAATGTTCAAAGAATAAAGGTAATCAGTGTCTAAGGGAATAAAAAGTTCAAACAGCTGGATGGCCTGTTGGTTTTTCATAACTCTCTGATTTTAGGAATGGTCTTTTTGAAGCTCTGTGGTAAAATCTTTCTACTAAATGTGACATTTAATTCAATATAATTAATTTTAAAATTATATTTACAGACAAAATAGAGAATCTTCAGGGTAATGAAACAGTGTGGATTGAAATCAACAAAATAAAGTTCCATTCAAAAAGGGTTGATGCTGGACATGGTGGCGCATGCCTTTAATCCCAGCACTTGGGAGGCAGAGGCAGGCGGATCGTTGTGAGTTTGAGGCCAGCCTGGTCTACATAGTGAGTTCCAGGACAGCTGGGGCTACAGGGAGACCCTGTCTCAAAAAGACCAAAAAAAAAAAGGGTTGACTCAGACTAATTTTATGCACACTGCAAATCAATGTTTCATTCCAGTTCTTTCTCTGAGGTTATTATTTTTTTTTAAAGAAGACTGTAATCACCATGGACATGTTTATGCCCACTAATATATAGCACTTATATCTGTTTTAAAGATGAAAACAGTCATTTCTACTCTTTAAAGAAAGTACTTAAGGGAGAGAAGCATATTGTTTCAAAACAAGAATCTATTGAAAGGCAAGACTAAGAGTCTGTAATCAGAAACCATTTGTTTTTTTCTTAAGTGAATCCATTTATGTTTTACAGTCATTCTATCTGGCTGTAGTAGATAGCTTTGCTTAGTTGCTCCCTCTGTTAAATGCAAACATTTATAAAGAAACACTTAGTTCTCAGCAAAATAAAACTAACTAGCCCTAAGGTTAAGGCCCCTATGCCTTAACCTTTAACTTTAAAAAGTGTTCCTGTTTCAGTGTTCCAGGTCTGTGCCAGTGGCTAGCCTAGGCTCCCCAGTGCCCCCCACCCCAAGCATTTTCTAAACAGACTAGATATGTAGCTTTCAAGCCTGGGGAGCAGGCTCAGCTGCTCTTTCTCCTCTGACTCTAACATTGGCTGAGTTGGACCAGTGTGTCAGATAACACAGTGCTCAGTGCTGCCACTCTATAAACCTGGGGTGCTTCTCACGGCTCACAGAGGTGAAGGGATCCCTACAGCCCCAGGCAGCAAGAAGATGTTTTACAGATTTCACCACAATCACAAGGCTTCCCACACCTGGGGCTTCCTTTGACTACTATCATTCTCTTAGTAACAGTGCTCTCTGTTAGTCATGGCCATGCCATCCTACGAAGCTCCTCCATTCTAGTTAAACAAGGACAAATGCAGAACTAAGATAACTTGTTTTCACCCCATCGACCTCCAATAATGACTGGCCAGAAGAGATGTTTATCAATTACCTGACATTCTTTTACACACCACTCATTTTATTTCCTTAGCTACCCCTAGCAACAGCCAACTGTAGGCCAGAAAAGGGAAAAATTTCAGTCCCTTTTCCACTTTCCATTTTCTGCCATAACTACCCCAGCCTGTAAGTGGATGGCAGGCTCTCTGGTTTCTTGGACGAGAGCCCTCTCCTCCTCAGGCATCTTCTTGGATAAAGTATGTGCTGTGCTAGGCTGTCTTTCCTTCTCACCGACCTTACACCGCCCCCGGCCCCGTCTACTAACACTTTACTTGCCTTCTCATCTTTTCTGACAAATAATGTCCATTTGCTGCTTAAAAATATGCCCAAAGTGAACTCCATAGGCTTAGCTATTCATATCATGACTTAACAAATAAACCCATAATATGGCATATGGATTATGTTATGCTAGAATTCACACACAGATGTGTGAGTCCGTTGTATAAAATGGCATATTTGCTTATAATCCACTTGCATCCTTCTATACACTGTAAAACATCTCTGAACTAATTACAATACCTAATACACTATAAAGATTATGCACATAGTTGTTATGCAGTGTTGTCTAGGGAATAAAGAAAGCAAATTTTTCAGTAGATACATGATTTTTTTTCTGAATATTTTCTACCTGAATGAATCTAAGGAGTCAAAAGAGAAGGAGGGCAGACTATGTGAGTCATAAAAGAGCTTTAAAAGACAATGTAAATACCCATATGAAACTTCCCTTTGTTATAGCAGCAACTATGGTTTTTGGTCTCTATTTCTCATACTTTGCCCCAGTAATAGCATGAAGTAATGTTGAGTAAACATGTGGTGAATAAATTCATGAACAATGAGTGTGGACTTTTAGATATAAACAAAACATTTCCATTCAAGGAAAACATGAAGGTAATCAAATCAGAACTATAAAAGGAACACGGCTGTATGTGAAAATAAATGATGACATGGAGACAATGCCATAAAATATTGCTCACAGCAGTCAGGCATGGTGGCACACACCTGTAATCCCAGCACTTGGAAGGTACAGACAAGATGGTTATGAGTTCAAGGCCACTCTGGTCTACATAGCAAGTTCTAGGACAGTAGGGCTACATAGCAAACCTTGTCTCAAAACACATAACACACAAAACAAACAAACCAAACCAAGCCAACCAACCAATCCACCAACATCCCCCCCGCCCTCCCCTAAAAAAAGCCTGCCAATAGTCCACAGATCTCAGATCTGGCTACCATTTTAAAACTTTTACCCACAAATTTTAACTTCATTTACTGACGGAGTTTCCCCTGAGAAATAAACCACCCATTTGACGGACTCAGCCTATACTCCACATACAATAATATATTCATTCAACAATTATATATGGGCTAAGCACTACATATTGGAAACCATCAAGTAAGCCAGTAATTATAACTACAATTAGAAAAGGAGAGACCTTAACTCATCTTGGAGGTAGGGACTGTGGGAGGAGCTAGGAAAAATTCCTGTATTAGGTGGCTTTTGAAATGAGTTTTGAATTACCTATAGAAAGAAAAGATAAGGTTTTCCAGGTTGAAGGATAGAGAAGATACAAGAGAGTGGTCAGAGTCGAGTTCCCCTGACAAGTCAGAGTGGACACTGTACGGAGAGGCTGGAGCAAGATTGCACAGGCTTTTTCACACCAAGAGAAGAAGACAAAGTTGAAGATGGCAAAGGTAAGAGGACACAGTGAAAAATAAATGACATGCTTCTAGCTTGGTGACTGGACAGTGACAGCATGGGCTGAAGAAGATGATGGTGATTGACAAGTACTTGTCTTTCAGCAGGAAAATATTTGATTTTATTCAGTAAATTTGAGATGTCTTGAGTCATTCAGATAAGAATGTCCGACAGTGCACCTAAATTTTGTTTAAAGGAAGAGCTGGGTAGACATAGGATGCTTTGTCTTAGAGGCTAATGACACGTGCTGGTGTTACAATACTGGACACTGCGATAAAGCCACATCCTGCATGTTTCTTTTAGATGCTGCTTGCATGTGTTTGCTGTATTGGTTTTTGTTACTGCTTGCTTTTGTTTTTGGAGACAGGGTCTCACACTGTAGCCCAGACTGGCCCCTTGTGTTGATCCTCCTAGGTGTGTGTCACCATGCCCAGCTGTATCTGATATATTCTTGGAAACAGAAGACTTGTCTCTCTCTTTCTGATCTGTAATTCTCTATCCCTGTATCTTTAGTTGTTAGTGTTATGCAGGGAAGTGCTGACTGGTTAAAATGGAAGCAATGATACAGATTGTACAAACAAGAATGTCAAAGACATACAGTGTGTGTTCTGACAGAAACAACTTTCAAAAATAAAACCAAATAAAGTCTTATTGTGTATTCAGTCTGGTATTCCACTCATTGGAAGAAGTATCCAAAGAGAGAAAAAAGGGGCAGGGAGGAAGGACAAGCTATTGACAAGGTACTGACTGAATCAATTACCATTCCTAAAGGTTAAGCTAGTACCTAAAACCATAGTGAAATGTTTATGCATCCCTATGCAAGCAAACAGAAATGTGGAGGTCTCAAAGTCATTGATATAAAAAACAACATGCATAATTAAAATTTAGAGGTCTGAATTTTATGGTTTTTGTGGAAAATCAGAAGTATATTATATTATAGAATATAAAACTATATAATCCTGCTTCAAACTTGATTCAACAGCTGAAGGCTGGGTCTAATAAAAAGAGCATGAGGCCAGGGCAACACGGGCATCCAGCTACTGTAAGTTAGGTGAAGGAAGAAGCATGACAAGCAGGTAAGAACTGGGGGAAGCGGGGGAGACCAAGTTCAAGGTGGACAAAGAGCAGGGAACTCAAAGGGTGAAGGCATGAAGGAACAGGCCACAGTCAATGGGAAGACTAGACCAATAAGATTAGAATGGCTCTTACGACACGAAACTGTTGCTTTTAGACTTCTTACTATGGATGCCCCTTCCTTAATGATGAAAGACAACGTTAAATATATTCAACTCATTTCTACCTGTTTCCATGCTGGGAATTATTTGTTTTTGAGGAAGGAGGCACCTCTTGGAAGTCAGTGAACGAGTCATCAAGGGATCCTGACTTAGAAGCATCTTGAAATTCCTGGAAGTCATCCTCTTCTGTCTTTCCCACCTAGATTTAGATATTTACAGAGGCAAGATAGTTACACAAAAAGCATTCAACCGACAAACACCTCCTCTCCCAGTATAAACCCTTTAAGACATAAAATTAAATGAGGTATTAACCTTTAAAAAAGATCTCCATTTCATTATTAAAATACACAGTTTCATACAGAAAAATTCATTTTTAATGCAATTGACACTAAGATGTTTGCACATGCGTTTCTAATCTCTATATATCTGATTATTACTAGTCACAGTCGGTTGTAATCTATGTAATTTTTAAAAGTAGCTGAATCACATTTATTGGATTACTGACAGCCTATAAGTTACAAATGTGCTAGAGTCCCTCATTACTAGTCACACACATTTGAAGCAGACGCTGGCTCCTGGGCTCACACTACAGAGAAATGTACTGCTCATGGTACATTTGTTTTATGGAACAAGCCTACACTATACTGTCAGTACTTGAAAAAAAAAAAAAGTCATTACCTAGCACAGTTTTCCTTCCATGAGGTAAATGCAGTTCTAATTCATTCATTTTAATGATTACTTTAACACTGTGTGGATGAACTGAAATCTACTTAACCTTTTTCTTTGTGATGAACAATTCAGCTATTTCTAATGTTTTATTTTAACAAACAATGCTACAGCTAATATCTTGAACACCTCTGCTGAATTCAATGACTATCTTTGGGAGATGGATTCCTAATAGTCTGACTGTTAGACAGAAGACATGAGCATGTAGAATTCAGACAGTCTGCCTTTCAAAACAGTTGATGGTTGTACTAATAAACCTATAAGGATATTAGTCACTTTTCTCCTACATTTTCACTGACACTAAATATTTATAAATTTTTTAAAAAAGCTTTCTTGAGGAGTGAGAAATTTAAATCTCTCTGTCTCTGTCTCTCTCTCTCTCCGTGTGTGTATGTGTTGTATGTTCATGTTCATGTAGGTGTGTGCATGTGTATGTGGAAGCCAGAGGTCAACAATTCCTCAATTGCTCCACCTTATCAAATACTTGAACTCTCAAGAAATACCCTCATGTTTTTAAAGAATAAAAAATTAAATTTTCCATTATCTTAATACTTAAACTTTTTTACTTTTTGCAGAGCTGGGGATCAGACTCAGGACCTTGAGCATCCTAGGCAAGAGCTCACCACTGAGCTACACCCTCAGCCTCACTACGTTTTATTTTTAAATTTTCACACGGTGTCTACTGTAATCCAGTAGAATAAATTCCCAGAAGGAAAGCTGGCCAGCTGCACTTGCAGGGGTTATCTGACATACACAGAGCTTCTCCATTTACCTGTTTTGCTGGGTAAGATGGCATGAAGCCACTGGAAGCTGGGGCTGCAGCTCCACCCACTGGTCCAACAAGGTTAATGCCCATGACTGGCTGTCCAAGGCTGAGGGGCATGGACCCTGAAGGGCCAGAGGGCATCACAGTCGGCTGGCTCACTGGGGTAGGCAGAGTCATAGAAAAGCCACTTAACGTTGGAATGGGAGCTGCTGGGAACTGATTCAAAGCATCAGGACTCATGGCAGGAACACCCCTCTATACAGAACAGGAGGAAAATGGAAACATTTTAGGGGACCATAGTCAAAATAGTCAAAATCTGTTAAAGAGAGATCTAAATATTCCTAGTGTTGCCCTCTCTTTTCCTGATTCCATCAAGCTGACAGAAGGAAAAGTAACAAGGATAATGCAACAAGCTGAAACGACTGCTCTGTTCTTTTAAATATTTATTTAACAAGGTCATCCTTCATGCAGTAAACATACATCTATTTCATTCATTTAAAGCATCCTAATCTAAAGCATGCAAACTTAATACTTAGCAAAGGCAAGGTCAGCACATCAATTGTAACATTTTTGCTGGTAAGTTTGGTTATGCTATAATCAAACAACTTAACCTACTCTCAATCAAAAAAGTTATTACTATATTGAGTCTACTTTAAGGAATTCTAAGCAAGGACAGAAACTGATTTCATCTATTACTAACCTTTTCTTTTAAACAAAGGGATAAACTGTTTAGTATGTACATTAATTAAACCATACATTTTTGAAATATTGTCTCACAAGTGATCTTAATTTTATGTACAAGGGAATCTACAAGGTTGTGGTGAAAAATGATTTACACTCTTTCAGTTTGTATTAAGGCTCATTTGATCTCATGTGAGACACGTTGTCTACCTGCGTTACTGCTATCATGGCGAGAACAGTGTAAAGCTCTTCTTTAGTGAGTTTGCCAGGTGTAGTTCGATTGGCCAAGGCCCATATCTGTCCAAGAGTTTCCCTGGGAAGTCCAGATGACATCAGAATGGGATAAAGTTTAGCAGTATCTATTCCAGTTGGAGTCACTGTGGTTTCTAAAATTTTCTTATAGGTATCTATTAAAGGAAAGACCAGATTACAAATGCAAATACTTGTAGGTGATTGGTTTTTTGTTGTTGTTGTTTTCATTCTGGTATATAAGAATAATCTTAAATTGAATTTCTTTATACAGCCAGTAGATGGTTCAGTGGGAAAGGCTCCTGCTGCCAAGCCTGATAATGTTTCAACTCCTGGGACTCACATGGCAGAAGCAGAGAACTGATTTCCACAAGTTGTTCTCTGACTTCAAGATACACACTATGTCACACAAACCCACACACATGCACATGCACACACATATGCACAGAAAGTAAAAATGTAATACAAATTTTAAAAATTGCTTTAATAGAACTGAAGGGTCTAAACTGCTATAAAGAAATTAAAATGGAAGATGAATGTTGTGACTCATTTCTGTAATCCCAGAGTTTGTGAGGCTGAGGCAGGACGATTGCTGAGAGTTTGAGGCCAGCCTGGGTTACACAGTAAATTCTGGACCAGTCTAGGCTATAGGATGAGACCCTGTCTAAAAAACATAAAATTTCCAGTGGGATTTTCTAGCAGTCAGGATTTAGAGATGAGAAGAGAGGTGGGAGTTTATTCTTGATGATTTAGGGATGAGGTAAGATAAAATCTTTTAAAACAGTAGAAGATTATAATAGTACTTTTAGCTTTATCTGCTTTCTGGATAAAAGCAATAAACAAATGAAAGTGGTATAAGTAAAAAGTCTTGGACTTTAAAAGTGGCAGAGTGATGGGCTGGAGAGATGGCTCAGCAGTTAAGAGCACTGGGTGCTCTTGCAGAGGACCTGGGTTCTCCAATTCTCAGCACCCACATGGCAGCTAACAATCATCCATAACTCCAGTTCCAGGGGATCTGATACCCTCTTCTGACCTCTATGGGCATTGCACAACACGGGTGCACCTACCTGCATGCAGGCAATACACTCATACACATAAAATTAAAAAAATAAATAAAATTTGAAAAGTGGCAGAGTGGTTAGAGCAAGAAGAGTCTGGCAACAGCAATAGGAAGCAAGAATTATACCCATACCACCTTTCTCTTGGTCCAAAGACTACATTAGGAAAAATCCTACTAGAGGAGATGCTTTGGACATGCAGTCTTCAGGGAATGACTTGGCTGTAGTTAAAGTAAGGAAACAGAGCTAATGCTTAATAAAAGGAGGGACTATTGGTGAGTTTTTCACAGTAACATGGGTTTTGCAAAGGACAAAGCCAGAGACAAGGCTGTCAATAAGGAATGCCAATATCACAAGGGACATTCTTGCACTAAACAACTCTTTGCTCTTTATTTGAAATGAAAAACTTAATGAGTTACCCTATATGTTGTTGCAAAGGAAAGTAACGGCCAAAGAGATGCTCAGCAGGTAAGGGCACTTGCCACCGAGCCTGACAACCTGAATTCCATCCCCAGAATCCATATAGCAGAAGGAGAGATCTGACTCCTAAAAGTTGTTCTCTGGCCTCCACATGTATACAGTGGTATACACACACACACACACACACACACACACACACGCAAAATAAATGTGAAAAAAAAGAAAGAAAATGAAGTTGAGCAGGGCTAAAGCAGATAGAAAAATGTTTAAAGCAAACACTTTATATCTAGGCTTATAATTTCAAGTTAGTAGGCTGGCCATAAGAATACATTTTGACAACTGGGTGTGGTGGCGCACACTCCTTTAATCCCAGCACTCAGGAAGCAGAGGCAGGCAGATCTCTGTGAGTTTGAGGCCAGAGTGGTCTACATAGTGAGTTCCAGGCTAGCTGGGGCTGCAGGGAGACCCTGTCTCAAAAAGACCAAAACAAAACCAAAAAAAAAATTAAAGCATTTTGACTAGGAAAGTGTGCATGCACGCACATTTGGAAAAATGAAAGAAAAAGATATGAAACTGGCTGAAAATAGATAAAACTTAAAAATATACTAAGAGCTAGTTTTTGTTTTGTTTGAAGAAAAAGAGGAAGGGGACGAAACAAAAATGAATAGCTGAAGTCCCATATGGTTGAGGGGAGGGGAGATGACAATTAGCCTTTTAATTTGAGGTTATGTAATTATGATGTAGGCATTACTGATTTCTTCCAGAAAGATGTTCTGCTATAGAAATCTTTTTTTTTTTTTTTTTTTTTTGGTGTTTTTGAGACAGGGCCTCCCTGTAGCCCCAGCTAGCCTGGAACTTGTTATATAGACCATGCTGGCTTCAAACGTACTTGCCTCTGCTTCCTGAGTGCTGAGATTAAAGATGTGCATCACCACACCTGGCTCTGCTATAGAAATGTTATATCAAGTTTTATTTACTCATGTGTAGAAAAAAAAAATATATATATATATGAGAATTCCTAAAATTTAAGAATACTAGTATAATACTTATTGGGTTATTAATAATCTTTGTTTTGTGTGTTTTTCTTTCTTAAAAAATTTAGTAGGTGCCCCTGTTATATTTCTTGTGTGTGTAGGGGGTTGTGGGTGTGTGTGTGATATGTATGTGTAGAGGTCCAAGGACAACCTTGGATGTCAGTCCTCACCCTCTACCTTGTTCTGGGAAGGGTCTTTTGTTCACCTCTGTGTATTCCAGGCTAGCTGGCCCATGAGCTACCTCCCAGCACACCACAGCTGTGCTGGGATTACAGTCAGCCACACCACCTATGTCCAGCTTTTATGTGGATTCTGGGGATTTGAATTCTGCTCTTTAAGCATGTGCAGAAGCACTTTATCCACTGGGCCATCCCTAGCCCTGTGTTTTTTTTTTTTTTGTTTTTTTGAGACAGGATCTCACCATGTAGCCCTGGCTGGCCTGGAAAAGTTATTAATAATCTTTGAAGTAAATATTTGATAATGTCATCTTTTAAACCATGATAACTCTAAGAAAGTTTTTTAGAAAAAAAAGTATATGGTCAATAAAATATTAAAACTTTTTTCCTGAATTCATACAGTTAATTATTCTATACGCAAAGCAGTCTTAAACCTGAGGTTAATTTCATTTTCTTTACTCTTTTGAAAAAAGGGGTTACAATTCCTTATGTACATTTTAGAACCATAACAGAAAATATTTAGAAATACCTCTATAATATTTAAAGTAAAATATCCAGATGGGAATGCTGGGCAAGGCAGCTTAACTTTACCTGGGACCAAACTTTCATTGTAAATCCAAGGAGGCATTCTGGGTGGAACAGGATCCTGCGAGGGAAACACACCCACACCTGGAAGGTATAAAACATTAATGTACACAATGATCCAGAGAAGACAAAAGTCACTGCTTTTTACAAAGGAGAGCACTCGCTGGAGACACTAGAAAAAAGTCACCAATAGGACTACAGAACTTGTTTCAAAACAACTCTTGCATGCTGATATGTCCTACAGTGTAATAGAGAAAAACTACAATGTACCAAATCAATATTCTCAGTCATATGAGGATTACATTATTTAATGTGTATGACATGTTAAAAGGAAAAATATGGTAGACAGTAGCTTCAGAATCAAACATGTAAAAAATTTAATTGCCTAACGTGTACTTGAAGTTTTAATAATGCTTCTTTGCAGTCTGATTTTTTTTCTTTTTAATTAACATGACATTGCTGCCTCAGATCTATAGGATTTGGGGATTTTCTTCTTTTTTAATATTTTATTTTGTTATTTTTATTCTATGTGTATACGTGTATTGCCTGCATGTAGGTAAGTGCACCCACGTCGTGCAATGCCTGCAAAGGACAGAGGAGGCTACTGGATCCCCTGGAACTGGAGTTACGGACAGTTGCTAGCTGCCATGTGGGTTCTTTTTTTAACCATAAATGAAATACCTTCTAGAAGTCTGTCTCCAGGGTTGCCCACATGCTTATTCATCTCTACAGGTCCAAGCTATAAAATTTAGATTTTGTTTTGTGTTTCGGGAATTGGACTCTGGGCTTTACAGCATGCTAAACACATGTTCTACTACACAGTTACTTATCCCCAGCCTGAAGATTTGTGTATGGGGATTTTTTTCCCCTTTATGGTATGAGGATCAAACCTAGGACCTTGTGCACGTAAATTTGGATCTTTAAATTTTTTTTAAATTTATTTTTATGTTTACAGGCATGAGTATTTTGCTTGCATGTATGTAAATGCCCTGTCCATGGAGGGCAGACGAGGGCATCAGATCCCCTGGAACCAGAGTTATAGATGGTTGCTAGCTGCCACCTAGGTGCTGGGAACCAAACCCAGGTCCTCTGCAAGAGCAGCCAGTAATCTTAATTGCTGAGCAATCTCTCTAGTCCCAAATTTGGATCTTTTAGGCAGCAATGCATATGACTTATTTCAGAGAGACAAACTATATTTTCATTGGTGACTTTTCCAGTTATAGCTAAATTTCTCAACTTTTATGAAAAAAAAACAGAAAGTGTAAGGGGAAAATAAAAAGAGAGCTTTTGTAAAATGAAAGGCGATTTTACGTCAGGAGTGATTCTGATTTAAGAAAACCTGTTATCAAAATCATCTTTTGAAAAGGATAAATACAGTGTGTTGAAAGAATTCAGAGCAAAATCTCAGGGGTTAATTGGAGAAAGGACTGCATTAAGTATATCTTAAGCAAAATTTTAATTAGCACAATCAAGCGGCATTCTTTTCAAGATTAATGCTTAAAGTGTTAGCGTTGGAGCGGCAATTGGTTAGAGTTTTTTGCTGAACATTTCAGGAGCTCACCACTCTCTTCATTTGACAGGTTTTGGTCTGAAGTCTTTTCTGCCTCTGCAGTGGTGGGACCATTTACACATCCATCTACAGCACCCCCATGACTGGCCGTTAAAGTGGGATGGTTCTCACTGGAATCTGGGACTAGAGCTTTGTGCCCAGCTTCAGGAGTACTTAATTTAATTTGTTCATGCCCAGATGTACTTATATCACAAGATACTAGGAGCTTCTCCTCCAAGGAAGGGCCTAAATAAACAGCATGAAGGATTATTTGTATATAATTGCATATTTCCAGTCTTTCCATCATCCCTCTCCACCCCCATATTCTAATGGGAAAGCCCTCCCACATGTAATGGAATTCTGGAATAATTCAATTATTAACTATTTGGGAAGTACTTGAGTGACTCCAGAGATTTTGGAGAACTTAACATAATTATCTACTCTGATTCTCAGGAATTCTATGCCACGGTAGGTTGAAGCATGCAGAAAGGAGGTATATGATTTCAGAAATTTGGCAAGCTATGAGACACAGACACTTTTCTGAACTAGTGAGAAACCTCTGCTCGGGCCTGTTTCCACATCTGTCAAATGAGAAAGTTTTATGGACTAAGTACAAGTCTCCCAAGACCCTTCCTAGCACCACACTATTTCTCAAGATAGACTGTGGCTGCCCTGTTATTTCATAGATGATAAGAATGGCGGTATAGAAATGTTTAAAGACTTGTTCAAGGACAAAAATCTGGTCTCCAAGTGCTCTAGCACTGAACCAGGCTGGCCTTGAGCCTGTAGGCGATCCTCCTGCCTGTTTTCCTAGTGCTGGAATTATAAGTGTGAGACACCATGCCCAGATTCCTTTTTTTTTTGTTTTTCTTAGTTTTCTTGGCATTGTCTTGCTAGGCAGCCCATACTGGTCTAAACACATATGTAACCAAAGAGGGCCTGAAACTCACAGCAATCCTTCTGCCTCATTCTTCCAATTGCTGCAATTATAGGCATGCACCACCATGTCCAGCTTAGAAGGAGTGCCTGTTTCTGAGACGATCTCACGTAGAGTACCATGCTGGCCTCAAACTAGCTATGTAGCTAAGGATGACCTTGAACTCTTCCTGATTCTCTTGCCTCCATGTCCCAAGCACTGGTATTATAGGGGTGTGCCACCATGGCTAGCTAGAAAGACCACATTTAAAACAATTATTTCAGGGCTGGAGAGATGGCCCAGCAGTTAAGAACACTGGCTGTTCTTGAAGAAGACCTGGATTTGAATCCCAGCACCCACATGACAGCTAACAACTGTCTGTAACTCCAGTCCCAGGGGATCCAACAGCCTCTTCTGACTTCCATGGGCATTGCATGACACAGGTGCACTTACCTACATGCAGGCAATACACGCGTACACATTAAAAAAATGTATTTATTATTTTAATTTTATGTGTATGCGTGTATTGCCTGCATGTAGGTAAGTGCACCCATGTTGTGCAATGCCTGCGGAGGACAGAAGAGGCTGTCGGATCCCCTAGAACTGGAGCTAGAGTTACAGACAGTTGTTAGCTGCCATGTGAGTGCTGGGATTCATACCTGGGTCTTCTGCAAGAACAACCAGTGTTCTTAACCGCTGGGCCATCTCTCCAGCCCCCAATACATTTTTTTTTTAAGTTAAAAAAAGAACCCAATTATTTCACATTTATTTATTCTGTGTGTGTATATATGTTGATGCACGTGTGCCATGGCACATTTATGGAGCTCAGAGGACAATGTGTGGGAATAAGTTTTCTCATTCCACCACAGGGTTTTGGAGATCAAACTTAGGTCATCAGGCTTTGTGGCAAGTGCCTTTACCTGCTCAGCCCTCTCACTAGCCCTGAAAGATCACTTTTTAAAGGCGTTTTCTCTAGATCAATATTCTTTTTATTGTACTGTATTGTATTGTATTGTATTGTATTGTATTGTATTGTATTGTATTGTATTGTATTGTAGTGTAGTGTAGTGTAGTGTATGAGTAGTCTTGTCTGCATGTATGTAAGAGCACTCGTGTCCTGCAATGCCTGTGGAGGTCAGAAGAGGGAGTCGGATTCCCCTGGAACTGGAGTTATGGATGGTAATTAGCTGCCATGTGGGTGCTGGGAATCAAACCAGGGTCCTCTGCAAGAGCAGCCAGTGCTCTTAACTGCTGAGTCATCTTTCCATCCCTAAGATCATTATTCTTAAGAATATGATAATGGGGGCTAGAGCTGACCGCTCTTGCAGAGGACCGTGGTTTGATTCCCAGCACCCACATGGGGGCTATGAACTGTTCTTAACTCCAGTTCCAGGGTAATCCGACACCCTCTTCTGACCTCCACAGCATTGCACAACACGGGTGCACTCACATACATGCAGGTAATACACTCATACACATAAAATAAAATAAAAAAAATTTAAAAAAAGAATATGATAATGGTGATTTTTCACAAATAAAAGTATGATCTTAGGTCTGTTTGTTTTTAAAGTTTTTTTAATTAAAAAAACATTTTATTTATTATTTTTATTTTATGTGTATGAGTGCTATGCCTACATGTAGGTAAGTGCACCCATGCTGTGCAATGACAGAAGAGGCTGTTGTATGCCCTGGAACTGGAGTTACAGACAGTTGTTAGCTGCCATGTGGGTGCTGGGATTCGAACTTGGGTCTTCTGCAAGAACAGTTAGTGTTCTTAACCACTGAGCCATCTCTCCAGCCCCTGGTTTTTTAAGTTTTAAGGTGGTTTCAACTGTTTCTAATATAGTAGCAAAGAGTTTTAAATCACTTTTCTGGCATTTGAAAAATGTGAGAACTTAATCTAGCATAACTTTGGTGACTATTGATAGTTCTCACACATTACATACATATTTCTTTGCCAATATCACTGTATAATTCTACATAAGTAACAGAAATAAATTATCCCAGAATATCTTAATACTTTCACAATAATGCTAGAGTTTACCTGCTTTCTGCACACTGTGTGAAGTTGAAGCAGAAGAGAAATAAGGCATTTGCCCAGGGCCACCATGTAAGGCAAAAGACACTGGAATCTGACCTGGAGGGAGAGGCTGTACCCCAGCCTTCTGTGCATGCAACTGGCCAAATGGGGTGGTGGGAAGGAAAGACTGAAAGGGCTGGGCCGCAGAAGATGGCACACAAATAGGAACCTCCACAGGCCCCTGCATAAAGTCACTGAATTCATCTTCATCAAGAAAGGCAGGTGATGGGGAAATGAGATGAGATGATGTGGGACAATCTGCAAAATGGAAAATGGCAATGAAACACAAGAATGAAAGTCAACAGACAGAAAGAAATCCAGATGTAACACAATCCCAAAGAATACACTGAAACATGAGGAGGTGAAGAAGAAATAACAAGCAACAATGGCCGAGTGGAATTATACAGTGTATATGAACACTCTGACGTCTATTTCTTTCTAGAAGTAAGTTCTATCACTATTCTGCATTTGGTTCAAAAACAGAAAAAAAAAACCCTCTCATATTTCCTTCTTTCATTTTACTAGGTTAGCATTAATTTCTTTTCCCTAATCAAGACCAGTAATAAATGTATACCAAGATAATTATTTTTGAAATCCAATTGGTCTATTTAGACAATATTTCTTATTAATTGTACATACAGCTTTAAGAGTTGATGAACTAAAATATATACCACATAGAATGAATATAAATCTCCCCCTCACAGTGCTGGGGTCATGGCTGTGCTGGGCTTTTTACATGGGTGCTAGGGATTTGAACTCAGGTCTTCATGCTTGCATAGCAACCACTCTTATCACTGAGCCATCTCCCCAGCCCCATTGTGGCTTTTTAGTCATTAAATGCAAGATTCACTTACATAATAAGCCTACCCTGCAGGGGCTACATCAAACATGGAGCTCATTCATAACACTGTTTTATTTTTGTTTCTTCACATTTTTAACTACTTTGAATTGCGTTGATACCTACTAATGTTTAATGTGACAAGGAACAGTCTCTCATTTGAAAAACAAGGATATTACAAGCTTGTTACTTATCTTGAGGATCAGTGGAATAAAATCTGGAGTCACTGAAAGTTCTATGAAAGATGCAAAATGAATATGCAAAACTATTGCTATGATTATTTTGGTTCAAAGAAAAAGGTCATTCCACATTTAAATCCCATGCTTCCCAACAACAGTTACCAAGAGTATGGATTAAAAGCCTCAATTTGGATTCTCAGCTACTTTGAATATTTTCAAAATGGACCTTGGTTATTGACTACCAATATGCTGCCAAAAGTAGGGGTTTTTTTGTTTCTTTTTGTTTTTGTCTTTTTGAGACAGGGTCTCCCTGTAGCCCCAGCTGGCCTGGAACTTGCTATGTAGACCAGGCTGGCCTTGAACTCAGAGAGATTCCCCCTGCCTCTGCCTCCCAAGTGCTGGGACCAAAGGTATATGCCACCACTCCCGGCTTCAAGGATAGTTTTTTGTTTTTGTTTTTGTTTTGTTTTTGCAATGGCCTTGAATTTATCATTCTGTCATATATATTGGTTCATAAACCTTTACAGATACATATACAATTAATAAGAGATATAAAAATTATGACATTTTTATGTACTTAATATTTTAAGTCCATATGGGATGTTAAAAGACATCTTTCATGATTTTAGGCTGGAAACTCTTGTTATAAACCTTTGACCCTCAGGTTTAAGACAGTGACTAAAGAGGCTGTATAATCTTGATCTTACTTCAGAATAATCTTTGGGCTCAGTATAAACTGCTTAACTAGAAAGTGTTAATCACAATTATGCTGAATTCTGATTTGAACAAAAAAAACACCAACTTATTACTTAACAATAAGTCTCCCTCAGTGTTAACACTCACTGAGTGTACAGAAGGGCATTCTGTGTTGACAGACGTATTTAATCTAACAATGGCCATTCCTCTCTGCTGTTTTCTGCCTTTTCAAAGTTTGGTGCCAGGTCTAGTCCTAGTCTTAACTTCCAGTGTTTGTTTGGAGACAAGCTCAGCTATGTTGGCCTGGAACTTGCTATGTAGCCCAGACTAGCATGAAACTTATAACCTACCTGCCTTGGCCTTCCAAATGCTGAGGTTATGAGCATGTACAACCACACTCTGCCTAAATCTTTTTGGCTAGCTTATTTGGTTTAAAATTTTTATTTTTGAGGCTTTTTTGCTCTTATCTCAAAATGATTGTTAACATCTGTTCTCCTTTCAAAGTATATTTTACTTTGAGCATGATTTTTGGAATAGGAATCTACGTATGTAATCTAACCAGTGAAATTAATAGGACAGAGTCAAAAAAATCAAGAATTGGTAACAATGTCAATATTAGATTATTTTCTTTTGATATTATGTACAAGAGACAACAAAGTTGCAAGGGTTTAAGGTAAAATTTATTATATAATATTTTCCAGCAGAAGATAGTACCTTTTGATTTGCTGAATGATTTATAAATTTTTTTTACCTATTAATAGTATATTACTATTGAAATTAGCTGATAATATCAAAATATTTACCTTTTTTAAAGAGGATATTTTATAGACGAGACTAATTTCAACTTTAAAAAAAATTATTTATTTATTATTTTTATTTTATGTGTATTTGTGTATTGCCTGCATATAGGTTAAGTACACCTGTGTCGTGCAATGCCTGCAGAGGTCAGAAGAGGCTGTCGGATCCCCTGGGACTGGAGTTACAGACAGTTGTTAGCTGCTATGTGGGTGCTGGGATTCGAGCCCAGGTCTTCTGCAAGAACAACCAGAGTTCTTAATCACTGAGCCATCTCTCCAGCCCCTCACCTTTTTTTTTTTAAAGGCCGGGTCTCCCTGTAGCCCCAAGCTGGCCTGGAATTCACTAAGTAGACCAAGCTGGCCTCAGTTTCACAGAGTTACCTGCCTCTGCTGCCTGAGGGCTGGGGGAGATGTGTGTCAGCATGTCCGGCTTACTTTCAGCTTTTAAGTGTTCAAAACAATAACAAAAAGAAAACTAAAAAAAATCCCTTTACCCTGCTCCCCAAAAGGCAATTTTTTCTTTTGCTTATCTAACGATAAAAATTACACTCACAATAAAAATTACAAAGAAATTTATCGAAGCAACTGAACTTTATTAAAGCCATGACTTTGTTTTTTTTTTTTTTTTTTTTTTGTGACAGGGTCTTGAACTCACAGAGATTCACCTGTCTCTGCCTCCAGAGTGCTAGGATCAAAGGCGTGCACCATCATGCCTAGCAAGTCATGACTTTTTAAAAATGGGGCATTTTGAGAATTTGTAAATTTCATCACATGGACACATGAAATCCAAACTAGCCCATAAAAATTAAAATCATGGCAGGCATGGTGCTGCATGCCTTTAATCTCTGCACTCAGGAAGCAGAGGCAGGTGGATGGATCTCTGTGACAGAGGCCAGCTGGTCTACATAGCAAGTTCCAAGCTAGCTATGGCTACCTGGAGACTCTGTCTCAAAAAAAAAAAAAAAAAAAAAAAAAAAGTAAAATAATTTTATAACAATAAAGATGAAGCAGCAAACTTATCACATCTGCTTTGCACCAACAGGTTTTACTGAGGTCAGCACATACAGATTTATCTGAGAAATTGTCAAACTGACATCTACCTAGAAGACAAGGATTTTAACTTCCACGTTGGCTGTTATCTTGATTGGCTCTTTCACAATTTAAAACATCCAGATCTGAACTTTTTCTTTTAATTTTTTTAGTTTTTATTATTTTTATTTTATGAGTAAGAGTGTATTGCTTGCATGTCTTTGAGTGCACCCATGTTGTGCAATGCCTGTGGAGGTCAGAAAAGGGTGTCCATTCGGAACTGGGGTTACAGATGGTCATTAGTCATCATGTAGGTGCTGGGACTCAAACCTGGGTCCTCTGCAAAAGCAGTCAGTGCTCTTAACCGCTGAGCCATCTCTCCAGACCCCAGATCTGAACTTTCTTAAAGAAAAAGTTCAGTACTGACCTTTCACACATATAGAAACAACCGAATTAAGCACAGGGAGACTATAAACCACCTTCTGAAGAAAGATTAATTTTCACGTCTCTTAAAATTAAAACTACCTGGTTTCTTGGGGTGCGATGCTGGAGTAGGATGCATCTTAGCATCTCTGGAAAACCCATCCAAGTTTCCTTTTATGGCTTCCAAAGCATCGTCTCTGTTCTTCTCTCCTGTCTACGAGACAAAAATCTATGCTTAGTTTTTACCTCATCGCCTGCTGGCCTCACCTCCCAAATTAAAGGCACAGATATTAATCTAGCTCCAATAGTCTTCTGTTCTTCTTTTTTAGGTTTTTTGAGATAAGGTCTTGCTCTGGAATTCACTGTGTAGCCCAGGCTGGCCTCAAACCCATGACTATCTTCTTGCTTTTGACTCTTAGGTGCTGAGATTATAGGAATGTTCCACCACATCTGACACTACTTATAATATTTTTACTACACACTTCTGATAATGAATTTTCCAAGTCAGACATCAATAACGAAGGCTTAAGAAGACATTGTAGAGAATATAAAAACATGAACTGACTCAGTTTCAAACACTGTAGGACAGGGCTGTTAGATACTAAGTGTTCTGTCCAGGGCCCTGACAAATCCATTTCCTATCATGACATTTAAGAGCAATGTCACTTTTCTAAGAAAAAAGTTACCAACACTTCCATGGTAGTAAAAACAGTTGGGAAGACAATGGCTGACACCTATTCTTACAAAAACAGAGCAACTAGAGAAAAAGAAGAATCGTTCACTTTAAAACTTAGGTAAAGCAAAGTGAAAAGAAATCATCTCAGCCTCAGCTTGGGCTGGTACCTCAGTGACAAAATCCACTGATGAGTGAGAGGAGGCACTCAGGGTGCCCACACTCTGGGAGGGAAGGTGGGAGAGGAGAGACAGGCATGTGCGTAGCTCTGGAGGGACAAGGGTGTCCATTACCTTGGGTTTCACGCTACTCAGAAGTCTGAGCTTTTGCTTTTGCTCTTCAAACTGGCGTCTTTTTCTTTCTTCTTCTAAGAGTTTTTGTTGCTGTTCAAATCGTTTTCTAAAGGGAAAGCAACTGAATAAGGATCCGGGCTCAGGTTGCAATGGTCCCATTCAATTTCTACTGCCAGCTTCAGTAATATCAACTTGCACCTCCAGAATCAGTCTACATTTCTGATTTTCTTACAACAATCTGTTTCTTCACTACATGAATTATGAAATACTTTTAGTGAATCTACACAATGATTGACTTATGTGTATGCATTATTTCTTACGTAACTTTCAAGGAGAAGAAACCGTCTTTTTTTTGTTGTGTGGGGAGGAAGTGGTGGTACTAGGTGTGAAACCCAGGGCCTCTGCATGCTAGGCAGCACTCTACCATTGAGATTCCCCCTAGCACTAGGGGAAACAATCTTGGCACACTAAAGCAATTTCAAAAACTGAGGTGGGGGGTGGGATGGTGGCATATGAACATGAAAACACTCTTTGTTCCTTTATTCTGCATATAAGAAGGCTAGAGATGTGGCTTAATGGTATAGCACTTGCCCAGCAGTATCACCAAACAAACAGCAACAAAACACATTTAAAAAGCTGGGTGTAGTGGCACAAGCCTGGAATTTGAGCATTTTGGAGATGGGGCCACAAGGATTACAAATTCAAGGCCATCTTGGGCTTTTTTTTTTTTTTTTTTTTTTGGTCTTTTTGAGACAGGGTCTCCCTGTAGCCACAGCTGTCCTGGAACTCACTATGTAGACCAGGCTGGCCTTGAACTCACAGAGATCCACCTGACTCTGCCTCCCGAGTGCTGGGATCATCTTGGGCCTTTTTACTACCCTGGTTCCAAAAAACAAAACAACAAAAAGACAAAAACCAATCAAACATAAAAGAAACTTCTTTGGGGGACTAGAGAGATGGCTCAGCGGTTAAGAACACTGGTTGTTCTGGCAGAATACCCGGGTTCAATTCCCAGCACCCACATGGCTGCTAACAACTATCCATAACTCTAGTTCCAGGGGATCCAAAGCCTCTTCTGTCCTCCTCAGGCATTGCACGACAGGGGTGCACTTACCTACATGCAGGCATAACACTCATACACATAAAACAAAAATAATAAATAAAATATTTTAAAAAAAGAAACTTCTTTGGAAAGAGAGTGTCTCCAGAGAACAATGCCCTGGTGTGAGTCTCCTTCACTGGTAACTTTATAACCTGTTCTGACAAATCACTTTATTTCTCTGGATTTCCCTTTCCTTAGATAGAAAACAAGAGGTTTGAATTAAAGGACCTCTAAGGCCCCTTTTGGCTTGGAACTTATTTTATTTTGTTTTTTGTCTGAGATGGACTCTTTTTTACTGTCCTAGCGGCCTAGCACTCACACTCCTCCCACCTCAGCCTCTTGACAGGCTTTTAGGTGTGTGCTACCATACTCAGTAGGCTTTAAACTTCTTAATAAAAATGGGTTATGGAGCTGAATAGCGAGCTCTCAAAAGAAGAAATAAAAATGGCTAAGAAACACCTTAGTAACATTAACATTCTTAGTAATTAGGGCAATGCAAATCAAAACCACTTTAAGATTTCATCTTACCCCAGTCAGACTGGCTAAGATCAAGAGAACAAATAATAACAAATGCTGGCAAGAATGCAGGGGAAAGGAAAATGCTCACTGCTGTGGGATTGCAAACTGGTGCAACCACTATGGAAAGCAATGTGGAGAATGCTTAAAAAACTAAAAATGGGGGTTGGAGAGATGGCTCAGAGGTTAAGAGCACTGATTGCTCTTGCAGAGGACTCGGGTTTGATTCCCAGCACCCACATGGCAGCTAGCAATCATCTGATAACTCCAGTTCCAGGGTGATCCAAAGCCCTTTTCTGACCTCCACAGGCACTGCACAACATGGGTGCCCTTACATACATGCAAGCAAGACACTCATACACATAAAATAAAAATAATAATTTTTTTTTTTGTCTTTTTGAGACAGGGTCTCCCTATAGCCCTAGCTGACCTGGAACTCACTATGTAGACCAGGCTGGCCTTGAACTTACAGAGATCCACCTGCCTCTGCCTCCCAAGTGCTGGGATTAAAGGCGTGTGCCACCACATCTGCCTAATAAAATATTTTTAAAAATAAATAAAAATAAAAAACAAAATGAGTCTACCATATGACCCAGTTATATCAATCCTTGGCATATACCCAAAGGACTCATCCTAACGCAAAGATACCTGTACATCCATGTTTGTTGGTGCTTTTTTCACAATAGCTAAGAAATGGTAACAACATAAATGCCCCTCAACTGATGAATGAATAATGAAAGAAAATAAGGTACATTTACACAATGGAGTTCTACTCAGTAATTTAAAGAAAGACAAAATCATAGAATTTGAAGGTAAGTGGATGGAACTAGGAACTGTTATACTAAGTGAAGTAACACAGACTCAGAAAAACAAACGATGTATGTTCTCTCTCATTTGTGATCTTAGCTCTAAATTCTTATATATGAGCATATCTCCTGATGTAACCACAGAAGCCAGGAAAATGGAAAGGAACCATAGGGGTGAAGGGGAAGAAGGAGTCCAAGAGCCAAGAGAGGGGGATAGTAGGAGACAGGTGTTATCAAGGGGGAAATGGGGAAAATGGGGGTAGATTAATGGGGAAGGAGGGAGGGTTATACAGAGTGAGAGAGAGGAGAGACAAATAACACTTAGGTGGTATGAAAAGTCAGAGGGAAATGTATTAGTCCGAAAGCCTACTGAAAAATACACATTATACACACACACACACACACACACACACACACACACACACACACACATGTATAACTGAAGGCTATATAACAAGAAACACAGTGTCAGATAAGAGGAACCACACTTTGACCTTTCAAGTTGTTGGTCAGGGTAGTCCAAGAGATTCATAGAGTAACAGAATAACATGGGCTATTGCCACAGTCCTTGATTGCCTCCCAGAACTTGAAGGTAAAATTCTATTGCTGAAGACAGGACATATTTTGGATAGAGGACTTGGAGCAATGGAACTGACCTGGAAGCCTCCTCCCTGAAGATTAGCTCTCATAGAATCAGAGGATACTATGCAAGCTGCTAAGGGAGAAAATCAATCAATGGTCCAACCATCTGTAAAACCTAATAACCACAACAATGACTGGCACAGCAAACTATCTCTATTGGTACAATAGTGGCACTTTTATCTTGGGGTTAATCAACAACTATCTAATTGGACTTAAAGCCCACTTAATGGGTGGGAACTCATATATGGTACTGTAAACATAGCCAAATACACATGGCTGGAAAGGTCACAGATCCTGGAGAAAAACCTACATTGGTCACATTCCTAGACAAGTACAATTTCTTATGTTATGCTAAATATGTATCCTTATATTTACAGACAAGTAACCTCATTACCTCTCACTACTCATCAAAGAAGCTTCTTTTTGCAACAGATGGAGACTATTACAGAGTTCCACAACTGGTCAAATGCAGAGAATAAGTGTCTGTGAGATGCCCAGCCTTAAGTGATACATCTATAATGCAATCCCTATACCTAGGGCTCAGGGAATATAGCAGAATGGGGGCAGAGAGAATATTTCTGCATATCACAACTCTTACCAGCAAAGCTTTCTCATGCAACAGATGGTGATTAACACAGAAAGCTATAACTGGCCAAAATATATAGAATAAGAGACTGTAGAGTATGCGTCCCTGAATAGGACTCCTATATTAACCTCTGCCACCCAGGGCTCAGGGACCACTGCAGAAGAGAGGGTGGAAAGATGTAAGAGCCAGGGGTGGTGGATGACCAGGCAACTGGGAACTTTTTCATATAAACTTACAGCAATGGTGACAGCATGCACAGACCCATGCAAACTCAAACCAGACAAAAATTGAGCATAGAGTGGGGAAATGGGTAAGAAGGCCCAACCTTCGCTGAGGAACTATTGGGAACTGATCACTGCTGGCTTAGGAAGAGTTGGCTTCTTTAAGGAAGTGATACTAGATAGGCTGACCAGGCTCCAGTGGATGAACTCACACTGAAAAACATCTGAGGACGCAAATTTGACTCAATAGGCCTTAACATATATGACAAAATGCATGAAACTAGGCGGGGGAGGTGGGGGTGGAGATAGGGGAGGGGTCTAAATATGATTAGGATGTGTTCTATGAAATGCACAAAAAGTTAATTAAAAAATAGAAAAAAATCATTTAAAGGATCCTGCCTCAAAACAAACAATTTTTAAAGTGTTCTAAAGGCAGTTTGACTATTTCAGCTTCAAATCTGTACTGCAGAACATCTGATAATCTATAAAACAACTGTGATTAGGTATCTTTGCTATCTCTAGATCGTAGGAGGTATCTTACTGTTGCTCTTCAGCAAACTGCTTCTGCATGTCTGGAGTGTACTGTGGGCCTGGAGGACGCATGCCCAGGAATGGTGCCTGCCCCAGGTAAGGCATGCCTGCTGCCGGCATTGGCGCCATCGGTAACCCTGCCTAGAAGAAACAGACAACAGATTAAATACATAGCTTTCCTTAATTATTAAAAAAGGAGCTTGCACAATTATTTAATAATACTTTTATTGGTAAGCTATATGGAATATTCTAATAAAAATTCAAAGAACATAGGCTGAACGTTCCCTTTTGTGTGTCACAGGTCAATACTGCTGAAAGTCTAAGAGGTATATGTGTAAAATTCTTTAGGGTGTGTACAGAAGTGCATGGTTTATTATACTGAGTTCAGTAATCCACATGCTTTAGAAAACATATCACCACATTGTACATATCTTTGTATTTCCAGCAACAGGTAAGAACCTGGCATCTGATAGTCATTCCACACTTATAATTAAACTTGATTCTCAGTATCTACAATAAATATTTTGATGTTCATTATCATACGCTTGATAATCAAAGCTTTTACAGAAAATAGATTTCATCAATAAGAAATGATATATCAATATAATTATATAAAATTTGCTTCAGTATTTAGAAATAGGAATACTGTAGCACAAAACTCATTCACAAACTAACATTAAAAACACACAGTAACAACTGATAGCAATTTTGTTCAACTGACTCATCCACTACTGCACCTTGTTCAAATTGTCTACTGACCCTTAACTTCCTCATTTCTATTTTTTTATAGAGATGGGATCTTGTTATGTTACCCAGCCTGGCCTCAAACTCAGGATACCAAGTAACTGAGATTAGAATTGTACACTACCACACCTGACCTTTATTTTTCCTCCTGTTCCTTTCTCTTTCCCCTTCTTTCTCCTCCCCCAACCCCCTCTTTAGGCCAGCCTTCATTTTCAGTTGAAGACTTAAAATGTTTTCTCTTCCATTCTACACTTAAACTGTTGGTAACAGCAAGAACCCCAAGGATGACTCACTTAAGGCTATGCCTTTCAGGTCTCTGGTCTCTGACTTCCTTACCACACCACCACAACCATACCCAACTGCCACTCTATTTTCCCATCCTATGGTCATATCTTAGTCTATCAGCAAAAATAACTGGGTCTTTACTAAACTTTTTATCTTAAGCATTCCAACACTTGACTTCCAACCTCCTATCCTTCCAGATCAACTACCTCTATAATTTTCTTCTTAGAAATACTCCCAACTCTGTAACTTTTTATCACTTTCCATACTGCCCACTACAGTCCATCATTCATCATGGCCTCACTTCTTGCTTGACTTAGATTCCAAAGTTCAATGCTAAGGTGGCCTTGTAGAAGCCTCAACTCCCTTGCCTATTTCTTTTTTTCAAACTTCATCTTATTTATTATTATGGGGCAGGCATGCACACCACAATGTATATGTGGAGGTCAGAGGGCAACTTTGTGGAACTGGTTCTCGCCTGTCACTTTTTTTTTTTTTTTTTTTTTTTGGTCTTTTTTGAGACAGGGTCTTCCTGTAGCCCCAGCTGTCCTGGAACTCACTATGTAGACCAGGCTGGCCTTGAACTCACAGAGATCCACCTGCCTCTGTCTGGGATTAAAGGCATGTACCACCACGCCTGGCCTGTCAATTTCTTGATTTGGTCTCCTGTTTCCTTTGTGATGTGTCTAGAGGATTTTTATTTACTTATTCTCACTGTGGTATTTGTGACCTTCTGCATTAGTCCCGGTATACTTTGCAAACTGGAGAAATGATTGCATGTGGCTCGGTCAGAAAGGCCCCTGCAGCTTCTGCAATTCACTCAGATCACTTGCTTTGAAGGGGTTCATGTGAAACTAGAGGTCCATTTAGGAATGGGGCCAAGAGACAGTACCAAACTGCCAGTCTGTGGGAAGGACCCTTGGAAGCAGATTCTTTAAGCCTTTGTATGAATATACCCTCAGCCAGCACCTTGACTGAAACCTCAGCAAAGACTCCAAGCTGGAACTACCCAACTAAAGTTGCTCCCCAGTTCCTGACCTACAGGAAGGCTGGGCTGGTGTTCATTGCTACTTTAGGCTACTAAGTTTTGGAGTAATTTGTACACATCACTAGACAATTAATACAATCATATTTGGATTTATCGAGCTTCCTGAATCTGTATCATTCAACAATTCAGGAAATTCATCAGCTATTATTTCTTCTGATGTACTCTCTTCCTCTTTTCTTTCAAGGATTCCAACTAAACACTTATTATCCTTCATTTGCGTCACCAAAATCTCTCACATTTTTTTTCTTTTTCCATTGTGTGTGTGTGTGTGTGTGTGTGTGTGTGTATGTGTGTGTGTGTATCTCTGTGTGCACATGTTTGCATGGTATGGGCATAAATGTGTGGAGGTGCACTTACACATGGGTGCACACACATATGGAGGCCTGATGTTAAAGTCAGGAATCATGCTTGGTTGCTCTTTCACCTTGTTCCTTGAGGCAGGGCCTCTCAATCAAATCCAGAGCTGGCCAATATGGCTGGTCTTGCTAGCCAGTTTGCTCTGGGGATCCACTGTCTCCATCTTTTGGGGCTGGATTTGTAGGCAGGCTGCCATACCCACCTGGCATTTAAGTGTTTCTGGTGATTGGAGTGCCATCTTCACACTTGGGAACCAAGCCCTTTAATCACCGAGCCAGCTCTCCAGTGCTTCTCACGCATCGTTTCATTTTGTCTACGGTTCTGGATAGCTTCTCCTGACCTGTCTCCTGTTCACTAATTCTTTCTAATCTCCTGCTAAACCATCCATAGAATTCTTCTATTCTTCTTTTGGTTAGTGTATTTTTCAGTTCTGAAATTGCTTAAATCTACTGTCACTTGTTACAAAAGATTTAAAAAAGATATTTTATTATTTTTATTTTATGTGTATGAGTGTACTGCCTGCATATAGATAAGTGCACCCATGTTATGCAATGCCCACAGAGGACAGAAGAGGCTGTTGGATCCCCTGGAACTGGAGTTATGGACAGTTGTTAGCTGCTATGTGGGTGCTGGAATTTGAACATGGGTCTTCTGCAAAAACAACCAGTGTTCTTAACCACTGACCCATCTCTCTAGCCCCCACAAAAGATTTTTTATGTATTTATTTTTTTATTTATGTGTATCAGTGTTTTGCCTGCAATGAGTTGATGTGTACCTTGTGTGAGCAGGAGACAGCAGAGGCCAGAAGAGGGTGTCTAATCTCCTAGGCCTGGATGGGAATTGATCCTGGTCCTCTGCAAGAGCAGCAAATGTTCTTAACCACTGAGCAATCTCTCCAGTCCCTGTTTCACTTTCCATAATTCTGAGTTTCCTACCAAGATTTCCCCACTTCAGTTTTTATTTCTTATATCACAGAAAATGTAGTTCCGAAAAGAAAGAAAGAAAATATAGTTCCACAGTCTATTCTGGTTCTTTGTTTTGTTTTTGAGACAGGGTCGTACCATGCAGCAACAGCTGGCATGGAACTTGCTATGTAGAACTTGCTAGTCTCAAACTCAGAGATCTGCCTGCCTTGGCTTACTAAGTGCTGGGATTAAAGGTGTGCACCACCATGCCTGGTCCACATAGTCTATTCTGTTAATTCCAATACTATAGCATATATTATCTTTAGAACAGTTACCTAGCATATGTGAGTTCAGAGTTTGAATCACTTGCACTGGGGGGGGCGGGGGGAGGGGAGGCAGAGCTTTGTGGCATACACCTGCAATCCTACATACTTGGGAGGCTGAGGCAGGAGAGGAAGATCACTTCAACCCAGACATAGCAAAATTCTATCTCTTAAAAAAAAAAAAAAGGTAAACTATTTCTAAATACAACATCAGGCTCTTCAGAATACAGCTCTTAGTACACAGACATATAACAACAATAACTTTATAAACCATCAAAGAGAAAGCAAGTACCTGCATCGCAATGGGTCCTTGGGACATTTGAGAGCTGTAATTCATTCCCATCATGCCTTGCATATTGGGCTGCATGACAGAGACCATAGGAAATCCTTGCTGCTGCATTGGCATCAGGCCTGCTACAAAACACCAAGGCATTATTAAAGTCAACATTTCAAAGTTTATTTTCTTTTGTCAAAGATATTTTATTTATTATTTTTACTTTATGTGTATGAGTATACCACCTGCATGTATGTAAGTGCACCCGTGTAATGCAATGCCCATAGACGTCAGAAGTAGGCATTGGATCCCTGGAACTAGATTTACAGATGGTTGTTAGTTGCCATATGGGTGCTGGGAATCAAACCCTGGTCTTCTGTAAAGGCAGCCAGTGCTCTTAACCATCTCTCTAGCCCTTTGAAGGTTTATTTTATTTATTTATTTTTTGTTCTTTTTTGAGAAAGGGTCTCCCTGTAGCTGGAGACCTTGTAGCTGGTCTGGAACTCCCTATGTAAATCAGGCTGGCCTTGAACTCACAGAGATCTGCCTGCCTCTGCCTCCTGAGTTCTGGGATTAAAGTCGTGTACTACCACAACATGCTCAAAGGTTTGTTTTTTAAGACTAAATGTTCAATTTCAAGAAGTACAGGAGCCAGACTATAATTCCAGTTCTGGGTAGGCTGAGAGGCAAGAGCCTGAGTTAGAGGCCAGCTTGGGCTATACAGTGAGGCCCTACTTCAAAAAACAATAAAGAGTAAAGGAAAGGATATCATATTTATGTTTTATCATTTACTGCTCAGGTTTCTTACTGCCTACTTTCAGATGTACAAACATCCACATTTGCAGAAACAGCTAGTGGGGGTAGGCCACTCATTTATTCATTTGGTCATTGGTTCAGCAGCTACTTGAGGGCCTGCTCCATGTGAGGCATGATTCTAAGGGCACAACAGTGAATAAAACCAGAACTTTGCTCTCATGGACCCCACAATGTAACTGGAGGAGACAGATAGTAAAAGCAAACAAAACCCCTACATGTCAGGTCCTGGCAAGAGCTAGGGCAAAAACTAAAGCAAAGCCAGGGAATGGTGTGGTTGCTCTCTTATGACAAACTGTTTTTGTAGACAGGATGGCACGTGAGTGAGGACCTGAAGGAAGTAAGGGAGCAAGCAATGCAGATATCTGGAAAGAGGACTCCAAGGAACGCCAAATGCAGAGATGGCACTGTCCTGGATTAAGGACAGGGTGAGCCCAGGAGCAAAAAGATGCCTTCCCTCTTAATTTTTGGTCTGGAAGTTTTACTTACACAATTTCATTTTATTTTTGAATGGGCAATTTGGGTATTTGGTATAACATTTAAAAGCACCAAAGTATACAGAGTGAAAATTTAGTTTCCTCTCCTTGTTCCTGTGTAAATACACATATTGTGGCCAGCATCACTCTCAGTTTCTTCTACAGGGTTTAGAAATGAGGTGTGCTTCAAGTCTTCAGATGATCAAAAGTCCATTCTAGTGTATTTTATTAAAATAACAACAACAACAAAACCCTCTGGCTGGGTATGATGGTACACACGGCTATGATCCCAGCACTTGGGAGGTGGGGGCAGAAGGATCAGGAGTTCAAGGTCCAAGTCAGCTTGACTTATGTGAGATCCTGTCTCAAAAACAAAACAAAGGCCAACAAGGTGGCTCAGTGGGTAAAGGCACCTACCACCAAGCCTGACAACCTGAATTCAATCTCTAGAACCCATATGGTGGAAGGAGAGAACCCACTCTTGAAAGTTGTCCTCTGACCTCCATACATGCATGCTATGTGCTTGTGTGTATTGAGAAACATACACATGGACACACACACACACACATACACACACACACACACACACACACAAACGAATGTAAAAAAATGTTTTTAAAGTTGGTGTGATAGTACACACCTTTAACCCCAGCAGGGACTAAGGTAAGTGGATCTCTGAATTTAAGGCCAGCTTGGTCTACATAGTAGGACCTTGTCTCAAAAAAAAAAAAAAGAAGGAAAAAAATTAAAACAAGACTAATAAGCAAACAAACACTCTCCAAAAACAATTTTAAATTTCAAAATAAAAAAGTATCAGGCAATCTTGGAGTCTCTTCTTATTCAGTTTCTTTGCTCCATATGTAGATTTTTATTTGAAAGTGTATACAAATGCAAAGTAATGAACCATACATGACAAAAACAGGTATCTCTGTAAAGGACAAAATATCCTAAACCATTTGATCTAAATCTGGGACATATCTGATTACAGTTGGCTTAAATAATGCATAAATGTGAGCACAAGGAAAAGAATACAGATGACCCTTGGAAAAGAAAGGGGACCCGAAACTAAACCTCCTCCACACCCCACCATGATAAATGGAAACAGTCAGAGTGGGCAGCTGACCACCTACTGCTGAGCTGTTCTCATCTGTCATCTCTGCTGGTGACCTAGGAGTTTATGTTTCTCCTGCAAGTCTACCACAACCGACCAGCACTGGCTTTGTGAGAAGGGCCAGTTTCCAAAGCAGTTGGGTGTTGAGGTGGGCAGAGAGGTAGTCATGGGAGCAGAAGTGAGCAGAAAGCAGCCAGGCAAGGGTCAGCATAGTCCTTGAACTCACAATCCTCCTGCCTCAGCTTCCCAAATGCTAAGATTATAAGCATATGCCTCCACACTTGGCTAAGATGTGAATCCTTTTAAATCAGAATATGAGATCCCTTTTATGCGCATTAAAATAAGACCCTGACATACAGAAAAACCAAGGCAGCAGAAGATAACTAAGGGGGCTCATTTATTCATTTACCAAATTCTTCCAGGGAAGCTACTGTGCATGGCAGGTGCTAGAGACACTAGAAGACAGAGGCAGCTCCTGCTAAGGCACTAACAAAATAGGACAAGAAAACCACAATTCATTTCATCTCCATGACCCATTTTTAACACTCTTATCCTGAAAGTTTCCTTCATCTCTGGGGTTAAATAATAATCTGCTAACATAATGGATAAGTCAGATTGGGATACATGAGGAATGATTCTTTCACTCTCCAAATTAAACAATTAAAAAAACATTTATTATTTTTATTTTATGTGTATGTGTGTATTGCCTGCATGAAGGTAAGTGCTCCTGTGTCATACAGTGCCCACAGACGACAGAAGAGGCTGTTGGATCCCCTGGAACTGGAGTTACGGACAGTTCTTAGCTGCCATGTGGGTGCTGGGATTCGAGCCCGGTTCTTCTTCAAGAACAACCAGTGTTCTTAACTGCTGAGCCATCTCTCCAGCCCCTAAACAATTTTTTTTTTGAGAAATTTTAAGAGTAGGTGTCACACAAATTTAAAAATATAACTTATTTATCTATTTAATTCCTAAGTTCAGAAACATAGTGTAAATAACTTAAGCTTTTGGACTGGGGCTGTAGCTCAGTGGTAGAGTGCTCGCCTAGCATGTGTGAGGCCCTAGGTTCCATTCCCAGCACTGACAAGATATGTAAGCTTTCACATACCTTGAGGGGGTCTCATCCCACCTGCAACAGGAAACAGGAAGCTGCAAACAGGACACAGAATATCAGGATCTTAATCTGTACAAAGACTTCAAACAAAACAATTCTTTATGTGGATGAAAGAATCAGAACCTGGTGTTTCTTCAGTAGTACAATGTTGACTTATTAGTGTGTTAATAGTAATAAAGACTGAACTTTCATAGGATTCATAGTATCAGCATGCTAATGTGGAGGGAAACCTTTTATGGGGGAGGTAAAACAGAAAACAGAAGGCTTTGACACTTGTCCTGGCTTTGTCACTACGTGACCTCCCTGGATTCCAATTTCTCCATCTATGAAACAAGAGGGCTGAATTCATTTCCATTCAGTGAACATTTAATGAGCATCTACCACATAAAAGGATGGAAAGTCTGCAATCTTGAAGACTCATATGTAGGCAAATAATCCTTATATCACAAGATAAGTGCACTATTTCCAGCAAGGTCCAAAATACTAATAGAGCTCAGAAAAGAAAGGTTAGTTTTTGTGGATTATATCTTGGCAGGATTTGTGGAGGTAGCTTTCAAGATAATCCTTTTTTTCATTTATTATTTTTATTTTATGTGTATGTGTGTATTGCCTGCATGTAGGTAAGTGCACCTGCATCGTGCAATGCCCGCGGAGGTCAGAAGAGGCTGTCGGATCCTCTGGAACTGGAGTTATGGACAGTTGTTAGCTGCCATGTGGGTGCTGGGATTCAAACCCAGGTCTTCTGCAAGAACAGCCAGTGTTCTTAACTGCTGAGCCATCTCTCCAGCCCCTCAAGATAATCTTAAAGGAAAAGAGGCACAGCACAAAACAAAAGTTCTGAGGCCAGAGAAGTAGCGACGTTAGGCAAAATAATTTGCAGTTAAAGATATGATTTAAAAGCAACTGGATTTCTGGGGATGATGCTCCGTGGTAGAGTGCTAGTATAATCTCCTTGAGTTTAATTTCCAGTACTACAGAGAGAGAGAGTGAACTTAGGTTTGGTGGCACATGCCTTTAGTTCTCTCAGGAGGCAGAGACAGGGGGATCTCTGTGAGTTCTAGGCCAGCCAGGACTACATAGTGAGACCCTGTCTCAAAAAAACAAAAACAGGGACTGGAGAGATGGCTGGGCAGTTAAGAGTACTGGCTGCTCTTGCCGAGAACCTGGGTTCAGTTTCCAGCACCCACATGGTGGCTAACAACCATCCATAACTCCAGTTCCAGGAGATCCGACACCCTCTTCTGACTACTGCAAGCACTGTACAACACAGGTGCAACTTACATACACAAAAACTATACACTCATACACATTAAAAAAAAAAAAGTCAGACCTGGTAATGCATGCCTTTAATCACAGCATTTGGGAGGCAGTTAGGTGGATCTCTGTGAGTTTGAGGGCAGTCTGGTCTCCATGGCAAATCCAGGCCAGCTGTGGCTATAGGGAGACCCTGTCTCAAAAAGATCCCCCCAAAAATTTTCTTGAAATATATATATATTATATATATATATATATATGTCTCTTCCCCAAACATCAGAAATTTAGAATATTTATTTACTTGAGATAGGGTCTCACCACTATAGTCTGGGCTAGCTTGGAACTATATATATAGTCCAGGCTGGCCTTAAACTTACAATTCTCCTGTTTCAGTCTCCTGAGTACTAGAATTATAGGCATGAGTCCATGTCCAGCATAGGTCTTTAATGTTCATTTTTAAAAATTTTGAAATATCAGAGGATTTTGTGGTGGTGGTGGCAGTGGTGCTGGGGTGTGTGTATGTTTGTTACTATCTGAGTCATTTTAAATATATAATTCAATGACATTAAGGACATTATAATGTTCTTAAACCATTACCACTATCTATATCCAGGATTCTTCTTTCCTTGCAAACAGAAACTCTAAAGTCACTAAAGGATAAATCCCATGATCCCTGCCCCAGGCCCACTATTCTACTTTATGAATTTTTCTATCCTAGGCCCATATATTAAGTAAAATCAGACAGTATCTGGCTTATTTTACTATGGCAAACATGTCCAAGGTTCATTGAGATTGTAGTATGCATTAAAATCCCAGCCCTTTTGATGACTGTCCCCCACTGCATGTGCATAGCACTTTATCCCTCTATCTCTACCTAGGTACCTGGGTTCCTTCAACCTTTTGACTGATGTGAACAGCACTGACATGAACACTAGTGTGTGAGTACCTGAATCTTCTTTCAGTTCTTTTTGATATGTACCCGGAGTAAAATTGCTAAGTCATATGGTAGCTGTATGTGTAGTTCTTGATAAACTACCAAACTGGTTTTCACAACGGCTGCACCACTTTACATTCCCACTAGCAATGCCCAGGGCTCCACAATGCTCATTATTAATTAACTGACTGATTAATTAATTAATCAATTAATTAGTTAATTTGAGACAAGGTCTCACTATGTAGACCAGGCTGGTCTGGATATCACAGAGATTTGCTTGCGTCAGCCTCCCATATGTTGGTATTAAAAGTGTTTGTCACTACACTTGGCTTAAGATAAATGCTTTAAATAAAAGAAAGGAAGGAAGGAAGGGAGGGAGGGGGGGAAAAAAGCACAGGCTGTAGCATAAACAAGGAAATGGGCATTTGCAGGAAGCTGACACCAGAGCAACCTTGGAGACTTGAAGTGGAAACTGAGAATGGCCACTGAACACCAAACTAAGCCTAGAACTAAGGGCTGACTTCAAGAAAGAAGCTAATGCTGTGGAAAAGCTTGTCAAAACGAGGAAAAAGAAGTCGCTGCCTTGAAAATGATGGCCTTTGAGTTTGCTTTTTTTTTTTTTTTCGGTCTTTTTGAGACAGGGTCTCCCTGTAGCCCCAGCTGTCCTGGAACTCACTATATAGACCAGGCTGGCCTTGAACTCACAGAGATCCTGCCTCTGCCTCCCGAGTGCTAGGATTAAAGGCGTGCACCACCATGCCCGGCCGAGTTTGCAGTTTTAATAGAGGAAGAGGAAGCCATGACCGGGAGAAAGCTCTAAGGGGAAAAAGCGATAGCCTTATTGGTTGGTTTTTGAAAGCATGAGATTGGTAGAGGAAGGTAGCAAAGGGGATCTGCTTTGAGGAACTGGTTCATTCTCTGAGACCAGAGAAAGGGACAAAGAAAAGAAAACTCTTGATTGGGAAAGGCTCTTAATTTTAATTGAGTCAAAGACCTGAAAGGTTTCTGGACAGCCTAGTGAACTCCAGGAATTGGAAGTCAAATTTATGTGCCTTTGCTTTTTTAAAAAAAAAAAAACAAACCTACACTGGTCCACCTACTCCCAGGAAAAAACCCCAAATCTCAACTTTAAAGTCTTCTGGCTCTAAAATATTTTAGGTGTTTTATAATTGTAAGGTGGTTTAGAGTTCTAGTTGGACATCTGTCTAGTTGTATGTTACTTATGGCCTTGTAGAGAGGCTGGGTCCCTGATACATCATGTTGCTGACAAGCAAGTCTGCAGTCAGAGGCCTGAAGACCAAGTCCCTTTTCTGAACTGCACACAAGAGGAAATAAGCCATGTATTAACTGGTTTATGTTTGTCTGTTTGTTAAGATGGAGTCTCTATGCTGCCCAAGCTGGTCTTGAACTTGGTCTAGACTCAAGTGATCCTCCTTCCTCAGTCTCCTGAGGAGCTGGGCTACAGATCTGTGCCACCATGCTAATTGGATAAAAGGTTTAAGTTGAAGGTGAGCTGTAGTAGATATTTGTTTAGAAGCCATTTCTAAGATTGATACATTTAGTAGCAGTGAAAGCATTTAGGTAATCAAGCTGCCAAGACTTATCCTAATCAGCCTTAAAGATGAAAATTACTACTATGGCTTAGTGGTTCAGCAAATACTTGAAATGAGTTATATTCTCTTTGTTCCACGAGATGACTTTACCCTTTACCACTCTGCTTTCCCCTCTCTCAAGTGACGACACAGAACTGACAGTTTGTCAAGGTTCCAACTAAGGCAACAAGAGACAAGAACACATTACAGATACCCAAAAGCTACTTCAAAAGTAAAACGAACATAAGAACAAAGTAACAGTATTAAGAAACATGACTTATTCTAGTAAAAATTTACCAACTCAAAATTGCTTAGTGGCCCACATACTTTTATATAATGCCAAAATATTTAGATAATACTAACATTTTTTCCTTTTTAAAATTTATGCATATGTGTGTATGTGTATTTGTCAACCTCCTGTGTGGGAGTGCCTGAGGAGGCCAGAAGAGGGCATCAGATCCCCTAGAGCCAGGATTATAGGCTGTTATGAGTCCCTGATATGGGTGTTGGGAACTGAACCAGTTTCTCTGGAAGAGCAGCAAATGCTCCTAACTCCTGAACCATTTCATTTCTCTAGCCCCATAGCATTCTTTATTACATTTATTTAGTGTGTGTGTGTGTGTGTGTGTGTGTGTGTGTGTGTGTCGGGGGTTGCATATGGAGGTCAGAGGACAATTTAGGGGAGTCAGTTCTCTCTATCATGGGAGTCTCAGGGACCAAACTCAGTTTATTAGGCTTGGCAGCAATTGCCTTTAGTCAATGAGCCATCTCATCAGCCCTGATAACTAATGCTAACATTCTTAAAGACTGGCTTGACAAGTAGCTAAGCTAGACACCAAAAGGACAGCAAATTTCAGCAGTCAGAGTAGGGAATGGTAGCAAAGTCTTGAGGAATTTGACTTCAAAGGGAAAGCAGGAACTGCCGACTAGGAAGTCTCAGACCTGAAGCTCTGTAACAAGCCCATCCTTCAAACTTCCTTTTCAGTTACCATTGCTACTAATCTACATTTATTACCAGCTTTCACTTCTCAGACCTGGACTGTTAAATGCAGGCTTCTTAATGGATCTCCCCAGCCTTGGGCTCTAGTGCCTAACCCAGCTAGTGCAGAACAATGAGATGTATCTTCCTAATGTACCACTGAATAAGGATCTTTATGAAGAAATATATGTAGGTTTCAAACTGTGTGATTCCCCCTGTAATCTGAGTTTCCACAGCTTAACCTCATGGCCTTCCCCAATTTGGCATGATTTTCCTTTCAGTTTTATTTCACAAAACTCTTTTCCCCATCCAATTATCAGTTTATCTCGCACTACAGGTGTGTTGTTCCTGTAATTTTTTTCTAGGTTTCCCCCATCTATGATGATCTCAACTCCTCCTTTTTTCCTGAGTAGCCCAGCTGAAAATCAACTTTATTGTTGTCAATTTTGGCAGAATCCACAAATATTTACACTACAAAAAAATGTGCCAGAATAGCTAAGAAACAGTGGAAGACAGAGGCAAAGAAGCCCTGGAAGAGTTTATAAAAAGAGCAGAGAAACAGAGAGCAACCCAGATACTTTGTACACTTTCCTAGGATTGGGGCACTTCTTGACTATCTTTCCAATCCATCAGAGCACTAAGAACAACCCAGGTGTGGTGGCTCATGCCTTTAATCTCAGCACTAGAGAGATAGAGGCAGGAGGATCATGAGTTTGAGGTTACCCTGGGCCATATGCTGAGTTCAAGATCAGCCTAAGCTAATTAATAAGATTCTGCCTTAATCAATCAATCAGTCAATCAATCAATCAATCAATCAATCAATCAATCAAAATAAATTTTAAAAATCCAAATAAACAAAATCCCCAAATCTGCGCCTTCCACATATAGGCATTTAATGACTAAAGATTAATCTAGACTTTTCAACCTTTTTTCCCCATTTTACTTGATTCAGAGCAAATTTTGCCCCCCCCCCTTTTTTTTTGTCTTTTTGAAGCAGGGTCTCCCTGTAAGCCCCAGCTGTCCTGGAACTCACTATATAGACCAGGCTGGCCTTGA